TTTAGGTTTTCTTTGAGTAGCAGCCGTCATTTGCCCATTACGGCGGTGACACCTGGGACTTGGCCTCTTTTGAATGCGACTTTATGTAGTACTTGGCCTTCGATCGAAGACAGAATGTCACATGCCCTTTCGTTTTCTCCCAAGTTTTGGTCCATGCCTTTGGTGGAGAGAGAGATTTGATTTCCATTTTCCGAGTTTTGTGTTGTACGATGTTCCGCAACGTTAAGTTTATCTATCTCCTTTTATACACCCCCATAAAATATACTGTACGGATCCTGTTAGAGGTTTGGCTCGCACACAGAATAAAACTTATATCATTCAGCCTTTTTTTAACTCATTCTATTATATGCTTTCTCAAACGGAAGTTAATTTATAGAGTTGAAGTTTGCTACGACCCAAGGTACATTGTGATTAAATCAACTGTGTTAATGTTGAGGATCATGGAGGGGAGATTTGAACACATGACCACTTTGCCAAATTATAGCTCTGATATCATGTCACAAATTGTTTGGTTCCAATAATTCGAGTTGTCCGTGAAGTAAGAGTCGCAACACTATGAACTGCACTATAATAAAACTTGAGATAGTTCTCCGTGGAGTAGGATCGATCACACCGATCGAAACGAACAACGCAAATCAAAGTGTCTTCTACTTTCCGCGTTTATCAAGTTTTACAACGTCTAAATCCCATCTTTGGGTCTATTCAAATAAATCGATTTGGTTGGGTTGTGTGACTTAGCCCACCACTTCTTGCCTTAAATCTGGTTTATTTGTTTTAGTAGAGTAGTTTGGGCTTTGAAGGATAGAGCAGACGTAAATTTTCTGGCGTATCGGTACTTTAAACTCCAGAAATCAGCGAACGCAATGAACGGCAAGAAGTCACACGACTCTATTTTTTATGCATTTGTAGAGAGAAAAATTTAATGAAGAAGAATTGTTTTTCTTTCTTTCGGCTGAAAATCTCTTGGAAAAAATTCGTGTATTAAAACAAAGGAGGTTTGTGTTATTTATAGAAAATGAATGGGTGTGGGTGAAGTGATGTGACCCTTCTGGTAGGTGGTTACACCTATAGGTGTCAATCGGGCGGGTTCGGGTTGGGTTCAATCGGGTTGCGGGTTAGTCGGGTTGCGGGTTCATCGGGTTGCGGGTTCGTCGGTTCGGGTTCAATCGGGTTCGGGTTTAATCGGGTTGCGGGTTAGTCAGGTTGCGGGTTGATCGGGTTTGGGTTCAATCGGGTTACGGGCAAATTGGGTTCGGGTTCATCGGGTTTCGGACCGGGCGGGTTGCGGGCGGATTGGGTTGCGGGTTGTTCGGGAAAATGCATCGCGTTACTTACTCGTTACCAACTTACACATTTTATTACACTAATTTAAAATATTTTTCACAAATTTTAATCAATTTCTTTCTACCTTGTATATATACTTAATTGAGAAAAACTAGTCAAAATCACCACAATCGAAATTTGAAATCTCGCCTTCCCACCACAACTAAAATTGGGCCGCCCAAAATTTCATCATCACCCGCCCACTACAATTACACCAAAAACACAAAACCCTTCCCTCTAGTTGCAAAAAATTGGGCGCCCAAAATTTCATCACACCCGCCCAAAATTACTTCTTAGTTCTTACCCTCTCATCTTCTCCGATAATAAAGTTTATTATTATAGACAAAAGGTCTTAGTTATTATTTGGGTTAATTGCATGGTTGGTCACTGACATTACAAAAAGCGTTCATGTTTGGTCACTGGAAAAATTTAAATCCATTTTTGGTCACTAACTTTACAAAAACCGTTCATTTATGGTCACTCTCCGTTAGCTGTCGTCCAACGCCGTTAACGGCGTCCGTTAAGTGATGACGTGGCTAACGGATTCGGCTAATCATCACATTTTAACCCGAAAATTGACTGACCCGACCCGCCACGTCATTTAAACCCTCCATGTTAGCCAAACCTAACCAAACCTCTACCCAAATCGACCCGACCCGCTAACTAAAACCAAACCAGACCAGACCCCCAAAATTGTTTGACTAAAACCCTAATCAAAGACTGCCTCCATCCCGCACAGCCTCCATCTCGTCGACAACGCCACCACCGCCGTCGCGATCTTCCTCCAGCACTGCGCCTGGTACTTCGCCGAGGGCCGATTCAACCCCGGGGACGCCGCCGTCATGCTCCACTACGCCTACGGCGCCGTGAACAAACCCAACTTCACCACTTACTTCGAATTCCAAATCTTCTTCCCCAATCAAGACAATTCCAACGCCACTTCCGGCGGCGGGTTGGTCTTCTTCCTGACTTCCGAGGACAGATCCTCGTTCGTCCCCGCGGGCTCCGGCGGAGGTATGTTGGGCTTGTTCAATCAGGCTGACGAGGGCGAGGATTCCAACCAGATCGTGGCCAACATTAATCTAGAGAGACGAGAACTGGCGAGATCCAGCAGTGGCTTTTGCTTTCAAATCATCGATTTTCTTCTTGCTGAAGTGGAAGGTGCCTTCCTTCAAAGGTGGAATGACTAGATTATCCTCGTTGAAATCTCTAATTCTCGACCAGGAGACTCTGACTTCTTTTTGAATTGATTCGAGCGACGAATCTCTGGTGAACACCGGCGGCGAGTGATCGCCAGATCCGCGGCAGATGCTGGACCAGATCCGGTGGAAGTTCCAGTGTGTGGTCCCGTCGGCGACGGCGTGGTTGATCGTCCAGCCGATGAACACTCCGTCGACGAGCTCTGTTACTTGGATCGACATCAGCGGCCTTGTGAATCCGTGGTAGTTCTTCACGTCGTTGAAGGGGAAGAACGACCAGAGGACGGGAGCGGGAGGGACGGTGAAAGGCTGGTTCAGAGCTTCGTCGATGGTGACGCCGTCGGCGACGGCGTGGAGGAACGGGCATCCGGCGTCGTTGCAGTCGATGTAGACGGTGGCGGAGCCGTCGGGGTGTTTGGGGTCTGGTCTGGTTTGGTTTTAGTTAGCGGGTCGGGTCGGGTTTGGGTAGAGGTTGGTTAGGTTTGGCTGACATGGAGGGTTTAAATGACGTGGCGGGTCGGGTCAGTCAATTTTTGGGTTAAAAGGTGCTGATTAGGCAAATCCGTTAGCCACGTCATCACTTAACGGACGCCGTTAACGGCGTTGGACGGCAGCTAACGGAGAGTGACCATAAATGAACGATTTTTGTAAAGTTAGTGACCAAAAATGGATTTAAATTTTTCCAGTGACCAAACATGAACGCTTTTTGTAATGTTAGTGACCAACCATGCAATTAACCCGTTATTCTTTATTATAAATATTAGCATTGTGCTAATTTTATATTTACTTTTTTTTAATTTGGTTAAAGAAATTCATGCATAATTTTTGTAATTAAAAACCATAATTTTAAGTGAATTTCAGATTTTGAACTTTCTTAACTAAATGTGAATGATTTTACTTAAGTTGAGAATGAAAAACTTTATTTGAAAACAATATATTTATTTTAACCAATTTATTTCTACCTCGTACATATATGCTTAATTTTTTGAAAAAAACGAGTCAAAATGTTAAATCAATTTGTATGACTTGCAAACTTGTTATGTAATTAATCGTAATTGGTACAGTACACTAGCTAATAGTAATGGTGATATCAATATTTACAACTAAAAGATACCATTAATTATTTATTTGATATTTTAGTATTATTTCAGTAGTGTAATTGGATTAAAGTATCTCATTTAGTATAACCATGCAAATGTGGTATTTGGCGTGTGGTATTAGGCAAAAGCAGAGTGATAAAAGGAGTTATTTCGAAATAACTCATTGCCCAAATAACTTCAGTAAACTGTTGCCAAACGAGTTATTTGTAAAATTGTTCGAATTATCCTGAAAATTGAACCAATAAAGATTAACTATCAAATCTAGTAAAATTATTGGGACTTCAATCATAACTTACTCAATAACATATATCCTATACACTTAGCCTTACCCTCAATCGACAATATTAAGTTAGTATATGTTGTTGATTGTATACCCTAAACCATCAATACATTATACACTAACCACATACCCTATACCCTAACCATATGTCCTTATGAGTTGTGATTTTGCTATTATAGTTAATTTAAAACTGAAATTCATACTTTGATTTTCAAAACATAGATAAAAAGTGATATTTACTAATTGATATACCCTAACCATATATCTTATACTGTACATCATATACCTTGTACCATAACCACGTACCACAAACATATATTAAAAAAGGATCTCCTGACGTTAAAGACATCAAATGACTTCAAGTGAACATATGTTAATAAAAATCTTAGAACCGTCAAAACCATCAATATCTTATACCCTAACCATATACTCCCTAAACCATATGTACCTTATACCATTTACCCTAACCAATATACTTTATACCCTAAACAACAAACCGTCAAAGATTACTTATCAAGTTTAGTATAATTGTTGTAACTAATGGTTAATTTATTTATTAGCCCATAAATAATTATATATATATATATTAGCCTTCAAAGCATATAAGAATAAATTAAACTAGTTATTCCCTCCATATAAAAATTAAAGATTCATATTTCAAAGGCTATAATTTTGAAAAATCAAAAAGTTGAAATCACCAAATTTTTCATTCTTTCTTTTCAAAAAAAAAAAAAAAAATACAACAAAATTTCTCTCCTTCTTTCTCCTTCCATAAATTAGAAACACTCAATTTCCCTCCTCTTTCTCTTCCATAAAATTGAAAGAACCAAATTTCCCTCTCCCTTCCTTCCAAAAAAAGTTGAAAACTCAAAATTTCCCTCCTTATTTCTCTTTCATAATCAAAAGAACCAAACTTTCTCACTTCTTTCTACTCCCCCAAATCAAAACCACCAAAATTTCCACTTGTTTCTTTTCTAAAAAAATTCAAAGAATCAAATTTCCCTCTTCTTTCTCTTCCCAAAAAGTTGAATACACCAAAATTTTCCTCTTCTTTTAAAAACATCAAATTATCAAATACATTACTTTATTTTTATTTATATTTAATTGATAATTTTATTGAATAGTTGAATTAACCAAAATTTTAATTTATATATTATATTAATATTGTTCATGATCTCAATTATTACTTCTTCATCATTAATATTGACATTATGTTGATTTTATATTTACTTTTTAAATTTTATTAAAGAACTTAGTGTTCAAGTAACCTTCATGTTTCAATTTTTGTAATTTTCTTAAAATACATAATATCAAGTGAGTTTCATATTTTTTAAATTCCCTATATAAAATGAAAAAATAATTTTACCTAAGTTTAGAATGAAAACTTTATTTTGAAAAACTATGTATTGTATATTATAATAATTATTTAAGTGGACTAAGTGAAGTTCGGGTTGAGTCGGTCGGGTTACGGGTTAGTCGAGTTCGGGTCAATCGGGTTCGGGTTAATCGGGTGGCGGGTCAGTCGGGTTGCGGGTCAATCGGGTTCGGGTTAATCGGGTTGCGGGTCAGTCGGGTTGCGGGTTAGTCGGGTTGCGGGTCAATCGGGTTTCGGGTCGGGCGGGTTTCGGGTTGTTGACTTTTAGTCAATTCGGGTTGCGGTCGGGTTGTGGGTCGGGTTGATCGGGCGGGTTAATCGGGTCGGGCTATGTTTTGACACCTATAGCTTACACCCCCAAACAACACATCGGTTTATTTTAAAATTATGAACCATTGCATCGGTTTGGCCCATGTAGTTCGACTTGTTGGTTCACTCCAATCGCCACTTCGATTATGTTCAAATCGGTTTGGTTACCCAAACCAATTTGAACAATTACCAAAAGATTTAATCAAATCAATTGACCTAATCCAAGACCTCCTTGCCATATATAACTAATATGGTATTTCAAGATCTCTTGGCTCCTTCCATTTTCATTCCCATTCATAGGGGTGGTTATACGGTCCGATCCGGTTAAATTGGCCCAAATTGATCCGGTCCCCGTCCGGTCTTTTCGGGAATATAAGGACCAAAAATTGGACTGGATACAGTCTAAGTCTTGATCCAATCCGGTCCCAATTAGGTCTTGATTTTAGATTGATCTTGTGAGGATTTGAGTGGCCTGAGGACTCAAAGGGTGAGTAGTTAGTTAAGTTTTGGGTGTTGGACTCTTTTATCCGGTCTTTCTCCGGTTTTCGATCCGGTCCCAAACGGTGTATATATAAGGGTTTTAGTAACAGTAGCAAAGCAAGAGCTGCAGCACTAAGAACTGCAGTATAATAAAACTTGAAATAGTTTTCCATGGAGTAATATCGATCACACCGATCGACACAAACCATCGTAAATCAAAGTGTCTTCTACTTTTCACGTTTATCAAGTTTTACAACGTCTAAATCCCATCTTTGGGTCTATTCATTTAAATCGATTTGGTTGGGCTGTGTGACTTAGCCCATCACTTCTTGCCTTAAATCTGGTTTATTTGTTTTAGTAGAGTAGTTTTGGGCTTTGAAGGTTTCAAGCGCATTCGTATGAAACATTTACAACGAAGCCAGATACGGAATAGTCTTGCTAATTGCTATTGTGTCTGAGTTTTCATTTCGTCTTCCTGCATCTTTCTTCCTTCCTTTTCCATCTTTCCCTCTTTCTGATCTAAGCAAATCACTTAATTGCATGTTTATTTTTCATGTTGTTCTTCGAAACATTAAAAAGTTTCAATTCCTATAAAAATAGCATTTGGTTAAATTAACTGATGGACTACATAACACTAATGCCAATGGGCGCGAGGGTGTTAGTATACTTAATGCATATACTTTGAAGCATGTTCCTGTCATCATCCCTCTCTATCTACTAGCAATTCACGAGGCCCTTCGAAACGAACATAATCATACATGATTCCCCTGAAAGCGTCGTTACTTCGCGACTGAGTCAGATATATCCTATTGCTCCCTCTCCTGAGAAGCTGTCGCGGTACAGGAATGCTGTACAGCCTGTACAGCCCATGAATTCCATGTCTGGCAACGGCATTGTCCTTCCCGATCAACCCAGTTGAGAAATGCGGCTTCTTCACACTCTTATCGTTGAAATGAACCTTTAAAACAGAATTTATTCAGGATTTTTTTTAATCAAACCCGGTTTCAGAATCGCTAGTCTTAATCAATTGCAATGTGTTTGTAACGGTACCTGTAGTTCAGAGGCATGGGCAGATGCAAGCGCCAGATGCAGAGTGTAGTTTCCAGCGAAGCTCGGTTTCCTCAGTTTGAAAACGATCTGCCAGGTTGCCGCTGTATATGTCTTGTTCCCAGTTTTCCTGAATCAACCATGTCGTTTCGAGTGTGAACGAATACAAGGTCCATAGTTGGAAATGAGGAAGTAAAGAGGAGATGGAATATGTTCGATCTACCTCGGAACGTGAGCGAAGAACCAATCCTCATGGCATTTGCTACTGCCGATTCTGTAAACCAGATCGTGGTGTGGGTACAGTTCTGTGTACCTATCCCACAATCCATATTGTCTGAACCTGGAAACAAACCAACCTCTGAATTAGAACTACTAAAAGTTTGAGTTTTTTTTTGCCCTTTAGTGAAGGTACAATGACAGTTTCCTTACTTGTCGGACAAAATATGTGTGTACAACTTGTTGGTGAGGAAGGGTTTAGGATCAGGGACGAAGAATTCTGAAGCTGTTCTGTCAGGAACCCCAATTTCCCAAAGAGTAGGACCATTTCTTGGTGGGTGGTACACAATTGCACCCAAGTCGGTCTCCGATCCTGCGAATCTAAGCATGAGATCCCTTGCTCACACGATTCCACAACACCAAATCACTCGATCAGTTCACTCTTTTTACCTGGTTTGATGGTGATATTAGCTTCAAACTTGTAATCACCGATGATGCCAGGAACAAAGGCATATAGGTTATAGTTTCCTGGCCTAACATTTTTTATCAGGAAATAACCTTCTTCGTTTGCTCGAGTCCAGAACTGGTAGCCCTGCAAAATGAAGAGGATAAATTATGAGGATCAGCAATTTCTTGGTCTGCTTTTCTTTCAAACATAAATCTTATTCGATTGTTTGTTTGTCTGTGCTCCGAGTCGAAACCTTGGCGTCAGTCTGCCAGGATCCGGCTTTTCCTGGTGCTGCTAGCCCCACATAAGCATTGTTGGCTGTCATCAACGTCTGGTTGACATACCTTAAATTGAAGAAATGTGACATCATTTTCATATTCTATAACATTCAATAGATTCAATCCTCTAACATTTTTTTTTCATGTCAAAAGTGATTGAGAAGTTGACATTACTTGTCGCCGACTAGCAATTGACCTGCAACACTTCCCCTTTGATCTGCACAAGGGAAGTGCTCCGATTGCAGAAAACCATACGGCCATTTTCTGACTTCTTTCTTCATCTGGAAACAAAATCAATAGCACGAAAATTTCGATCGATATTGACAAACTGAGTGTTGAAAGAATTCGTTTCGAGTGCTCTAGCAAACAATGAAACATCCTACTTGAGATTTGGCGTCCCGCCAGAGCTTTCTGTAACTTCTTCTAGGTCGCCCTGAAACAGAGTTGAGATAGACAAACACAGGACCGTAAACCTTCCTCCAAGGCTTCCCATCTCGATACCGGGTGTTCAAATCCTTTCCGGTATAGTGAGTGCTAGTGAACATCTGCACATTCAACAAAAAAAAGTATTTCACTAGTTTATGTGAGTTTCTGTCCATGTTTCAGTTGGTAAAAAAAAAGTGCTTTCCTTTGTTGACTTACAGAGAGTAGAATTGGACCAACGTGAGAAGTGAGGTCCTGCTTCAGAGGCCCTCCAGCAACATATTCATCACTTGGGCTAATCACCCACATTCCAACTCCCAGCTTCTTTGACATCCAGCCATGGACCTTGTCGTCTCTATTCTCGATCGAGTATTCGTACTTATCATCAACCTGCCCAAACCAACACACTTACAATCCGCTGCATTTTTTCGATTCGCGACAAACTAGAATCAGTACAACGTCACTCTATGTTGATATTACCTCTCCTTTGAGTGCTGGGTTGCCGGGATGTGTCAGGAGAACCGCTTCAGAGTACGCCAACTGCCTGCCAAGCTTGCGATCTTCTGCTGTGGGCATAACCCGCTGAATCTTATTCGATATCGCCATGAAATGAAACCTGACAACAGCGAGCTGCGTTCAATAAGGTATCGTTTTACGCGAGGAGGGATGCAATGCAAATGCAAGGTGGTGGGGGTTGGCTTACATCTCACTATCAGGCTTCAGAACTATCCTGACTTGGTCCATTTCGAAATCCGGCCATCCTTCTGGTCTTTCTAGTATGGTATAGGTGTAAAATCCGGCACTGCCACGACGGAGGATGTACCTTTTGTCGACGTTTAAGGGAACTGTGGAGTTCCAGGCGGAGTGCTGCCATTTTCTGGAGAAGGAAATTTCTATCTGGTTTTTGTCCTTCCCTACGATACTAAACTTAGTCCCTCTCAATCTGCAGGGTGAAAAGAAACGTTTATTTCTTCACATAGTATTCACAATGTAAGTTGATCGAAAATAATTTAACAACATTTCGAAAATTGTTACGCACAATGTTATCATTTTTTTTACCTAGGGAAAATTGATCACATGTCAAAATGAAATCATAGTAAAATTTTTAATCCTCTAGAATAGGAATACCTGTCAAGTCGAATATGCTCCCCTGGTCTATTCCAGACTACGTCCCAGTACCTGATAAAAATAAAAAACGAATGCTTCATTTAGTTTCATTGCCTAAAGAAATATACCTGACAGGGATTCTCACTGGAACTGAATGAAATAAAGGCATAACATACGCTCTGTTACATTCTCCATTATGGGTTTCAAGCACATTCTCAACTCCATTGTATTGAATCTCGGTAACGTCACCGGCTGGTCGCAGGAACGTTATTCGAACGATGCCATTGTCCATCACAACCTGAAAACAAATTAAAGCTCTTACTTGGGGGAGCTTCAGATGAAGGAACCTCAGGACTTCCCTAAACATGTCGAGAAAATGTAGCAGGAATTTTTTCCAGAATGAATGACTGAGTCGTACGGACCTTTCCATTTGTCTTCCTGAACAACTTGACAGCTGGGTGAAATCTGTTGGCACTCTCTGTACACTCCCTACAGAAATCAGTAAATTCAGAGGCCAATCATTTGCTAAAGAGAACACAAAATGAAGACGAAAGGGTCGTACAGATTATAGGCAGTGACGAGGAAGAATAAGAACAGCCGCCAAGCTGCAGCGGCAACCATGTTTTTTTTTTGGGCCCAAGTGAGTGAGTGAAAGAATTCAGTGAATATCATCAGAGCGCATGAGCTCTCTGGCTTTTGTTGAAATGGGAAGTGAATGAATCAGAAAACTTAGAAGCCAAATCCCAGTAATTAATGGCATTTGGAGTCCTCATGAAAAGGATATATACAGAGGATCACGCTTAGATGGAATGATGTTAAATGTGAAAGAAGGGAACATTAAATAAGAAGAATAGGCAAAGATGGTAAAATATCAAAATGCAATTAAGGAGGCAAAAGACTTGTTCTGGAAACTGACTCTTAAGCTGGCCATCGACCTCATCAATTCGCGTGCAGACCCGGTGCATCCGCATTCCACGATTTTGACGGCGATCCGTAGATTGATGACGCAGGATTGGATGGTCCGGATAGTTCATACATACAGAGAGGGGAATAGAGCCGCGGACTGGCTCTCGAAACACAGTCCCGTCTATCCCTTCGGTACGTATGAGCTAGCTGAACCACCAAGGGACCTCAAAAAGATTCTGCTGGAAGACATGGTAGGCGTGAACTTCCCTCGCATGGTTGTTCAGAATGGAGAATAGATTCTCTAGTTTTGCTGGTTGGGTTGTGGAACTGTCTTTTATGTGGTTTATCTGTGGCTGTTTGAGTCTCCCTCTGGCCAAACTGGGCATCGTTTTGCAGAGCCCAGTGACCCCTCTGTAATGTAACTCGTTCTGCTGGCCTCGGCCTCCTTTATTAAAAAAAAAAAAAACTAAATGCACCAGAACACTGGGAATTTTAAGATTATATATACCAGATAACCCATTTGTTGCGGTTCACAATTCTGGTTGCCAGTGATCTGAAAGCACAAACACAAAAGCAACCAAAACAAAACTTAAGATGTCTAATTGTGAATAAAATCATATTCAATTAGCTGCAGATCACTCTCAAAGATTATAAAGAGCATATGACCTGCCATAAGTGAATCAAAAGGGGAATTATTCATATGGTCAATGTTAAGTGTAAACTTAAGACTTCAAGGAAGCCAAACTAATAACTGGTTTCACCATGAATGCAACCTCATACGCTGGCCAAGTAACGCATCTTTTGTACGCAGATGGCACGTTAATCTTCCGTGACGCCAATTTGTATCAGATTATGCATACTGAGAGCTGCTCTTTTATGCTTCCAAGTCATCTCAAGGTTGAAGATGCAACCTCGACAACTCCTGATATAATTTGATAATTTCCTTTAATTTAATGTTGTAATGTTCTCTTCTCTCAAGTTATACTGAGTTGTAACCATGTATGAGCTCTTAATTTTGTGTATTTATTAATACTAGTTTTTTGGCCCGCGTTTCCCGGCGGTAAAAAATTATTTATATTTAAAAATTTATCAACTCATTTAATGATTTAAGTAATTGGTATATGAGAATAATTATTCCTTCATAATTTTTATGTGTTGTATTTTTAATTTGTGTAATTTTATAGAACAATGTTATATAAATCTTTTGTAATGTGGTCTAATAAAATAAAATGAACTTACAATAACTCCCACTTTTGATGAAATCATTATGCAAAATTAACTTATTTTAATGAACCTTTGCATAATCCAAATTTAAGATATAGCTAATATTGTGGGTAATAATGAAGAAATTTATTTAGTAATATGTGAATTAGTATTAAAAGTATCACATTTGATTAAAATGCTATATAAAACTAACTGACCTTACAAAACCATTGTGTAGTACAAATTGATGAAATAGTCAATAATTTAGTTAAAATTTAAAAATCTCATTCAAACTTATGTTATGAAATATTTGCTTATTACATTTTTACTTGATACGTAAGAAATTACGATTCCTCCATATGCTTTACATAGTTTTTTATTACTTTGAAAGTCTTATGTAATATGTTATACTTAATTGATAAATAAGGAATAACTATTCCTTTGTAAGCTTTACGTAATTTATTTATAAGCTACATAATTTTTATAGAATGGTATTATGTAAATCTTCTATAATGTGTGGTCTAATAATAAAATCAGTTATAAAAAGTGTTACATTTAATTAAACTACTATGTAAAGTAAACTTACCTTACATAAATTTTGTATAATGATAATTGATGAGATAGTAAGCATTATTGTAGTTAATAATAAGGTCTACGTTATGCATTGCAATGCATAAACATTATGTAATGTGAAATGAAAATGTACATACAAAGTTGACTATAGGAGAAAAAGAGCTTTATACTAAAATAGGGTGTAGGAGATGGGAAAAAAAAACTAAGGGTTCATAATAAAATTGAGTATATAAATAAAAAAACTTTGTGAATGGTACCTGCTACAAAAAAGGGAGAACATATTTAATACTACCCTTATTTTGTTAAAGAATAATGATTATTTTATGTATTTGTAATAAATAAATCTTCTGTAATATGAAATGAATAAGTTTACGTAATGCATTTGCAATATGTAAAGTGTAAACATTCCGTAATGTGAAATGAAAATGTACATACATAGTTTACTACAGGGGAAAAAGAGCTTATACGGATATAGGGTGTAGGAGATGGAAAATAAAAAAATGACCTATATAGCTGAATATATGAGAGAAATAGTTTATGATAAAATTGAGTATATGAATAAAAAAATTCACGAATGGTACCCACTACAGAAAGGGACAACATGAGAAAAGACCTTATAGTGAAATTGTTTTGCAGGAGATGGGGAAAAATAATTAAACAACTAACTATAAGAGAAAAAATAGATTATGATAAAATTGGTATATACGCACCGATATGAAAATAATTATATTTAAAATTTCATCCACTCATTTAACTTATGTTACAAAACTTTTACATAATGCAAATTGATGAAATTGTGATACTGTATATAATTAAAAAAAATTAGTTTCATCCTCCCATTTAACTTATGTTAACCATATAATTCAAAATCAACACCTCAACTAATTTGTCTCTTCCTAAAATAGAGATGGAGTTATTCAGCGGAAAAAATAATGGAGAGATGAAGTTGTAATAAGGGTATGTACGTCACCATCATACAACCCAATGTATAAAAAATGACGAGCAAAGGTAGGGCTGCAAATGAGCCAAGCTGCTCGCGAGCAACTCGGCGTTCGAATCGGAAAAAACTCGTTCGACACTCGACTCGTTGTTTAACAAGCCAGCTCGCGAGCCGACTCGTTAGTAAACGAGCCAAGCTTGAGCTAGGCCATGCTCGGCTTGATAAGCTCGTGAGCTAGCTTGACTCGGTGGCTTGTTGAGCTAAGCTCGTGAGCTGGCTTGTTTAAAGCTTGTGGAAGGATTAATTACTCTTCTGAACATGAAAATTATCTTTTTAATAAGGATGTGTATGGAAGTTACATGTTATTTTTAGTTTCTAGTGTTCTTTTTATTATTTTTAATTTCTAATGTTCTTATTTGTACACATTTTTCAGCAAGAATGGTTTCAAATCGAGCTTATCTTGAGCTGAGCTTGTACTCAGCTTGACAAGCTGTGTTAATGACCATTTACCGAGCTCTGTCGAGCCGAGCTCGAGCTCGAGCTGGATAATCAAAATTCGAGTTCGAGCCGAGCTCGAGCTAAAAAATTTATAAACGAGCCGAGCTCAAGCTAAGCAAAAACTCGACTCGACTCGGCTCGTTTGCAGCCCTAAGCAAAGGTTAGATGTTTGGGCTTGGGCAGCCGGGGGCAGCCGCCAGAGCTTTACGTTGGTAAAGTACATTCGGCCACAGGAAAGCAAAAACTTTATCGTTTATGAACAGTAATCAAGGCATGCCCGTTTTTATCGTATGCAACCGTAAAAAAACTTACGGCTTAATAGTTTTAATAGATACAAAATTATTTATAAAAAAGGTTGGCGAGGGGGTTGACTCGTGATGGGCAAGGTGGTTTGTCAAAAGTTGAACGATTAAACAATGAACTATAATGGATTTAAACTCCATTACAATCTTGAAATCACAAGTTGTATTTTTTATGTTGATGTGATAGAAACCTGTTTATTAGGGTTCTATCGGATATAGTTGTGACGTTGGGAAATTGGGGATTTATGGAGAATTGGGGAAGAATTAGGGATTTGAGAAAGAACAAGAGAATCGGCCTAAGCCTTTAGAGGGATCGAGATCGAGAATTGAGAGGATTGGGAGAATAGGTTTTAGGAGATGGATTTCTTAATATTCTTCTTATTACCTCTAAACAAATAACAAAGTACATTTATATAGGAAAAGAGCTGAAAACCTAATAATAACCCTAAACTTAACCACCAATTAAGTAATAATTATCCCTAATATGAATATGGTAATTATGATAGAAACCCGTGGAGAATAGGTTTCTATCATCCCCTCCACCTTGAAATCAACCTTGTCCTCGAGGTTGACTAATTTTAGCCCTACCAATCTTCTCCAATATTGACTCCGCGGTTGTTCGCGCTTTCTGAACTTCCAATTGCGTTCAGGAACTTGAACTTGACTACTAGCACGAACAGCTCCCATGACACTTCCTTCTTCCGTCAATCCCCATGAACATGATCCAGCTCCCGTCCATGCCCATCCAGTCAAGGACTCGGCCGCCTCCGTCACCCCAAGCAGCTTGCTCTTGTTGCTCTCCTTTGCACGTAGCTGTGCTAGCCTGCTGGCCGCCTGTAGCCCGAAGCCGAATTGGGCATTATTGGCGTCGGCTTGCCTTCTAATGATGACAAAATCGTGCTCCATGTTCCCAATTCCATGTACGCCTCCCACATTCCATCCCTTTTTTACATTTTGTTGTTGCTGTGAATCTTCCAACCCATAGCCAACACCTGAACTTCTCCCTCCATTAACTTGGACTTCATAATTACAATCTTCGTCTTCTGACATTTCCATTCTCCGTAATGGGTACCTTCCTTTGTTAGGAACCACACGCTCACGATACAAGGAGACCAAGCTATGGATCTCGCATGTTCCCCGAGCATACCTCCCAGATTGTGCTTTGGTCTCGGAATGCCTCGCTAAAACTCGCCGTGTGCTAAGCTCCAGCTTTCCATTACTGTTGAGAGCGTCCATTTGTTCAGTAATATGCAGTTCAGACTTCATCGCGGCGGAATCACCAATGACCCGAGCGCGTAGTCTTGCTCGGCTCGACTCCGCTCTTCCCCAGAGCGCTCCATCGGACCCTCCCAGCCTCTGGCCTATTCGTTCCACTTATCCCTTCCTCCTAGGCCAGTTGGCCCAGGTTAACCAGCCCATCCGTTCGGTCTCCCTTTGCGGCTTTGATGCGTGACCCAAATATGTCGAGTGAGGGTTTGCAAGGAAGAGGTCATCGTCGCCGCCCTCCTTCTTCCCCCTTGCCATCGAGCAGTTCGGCCAGCGCCAAGGAGTTGAGCCGGCTTCCGGCCCTGTCCACAGCTCCATTGTCAACTTCTATGACTGCGGGTATTCCACCAGGCACAGAGGCGACTAGTCCTAGACCCCGTTGCTCTGCCTCTCTCCCGTCTCCCTTCCGAACGATGACTCGACGAAAGAGACTTTGCCGCTCTCATCCTTTGTTGACTCGTTCCTCGGTGGCGAGGCGCTCCTCCGTTGACCGAAACGTCCGTCCACTTTAGACCTCTTCTTCTTCGCCTTACTCACTGGCAGCGAACAACCCACACGGCGACGAGGTTGGCAGCTTGATTCCGGCCCTGGCTTCGGCTTCCACTTCTCGTAGGTCGGCGTCTCCACTGGCCTTGTCCTTCCCTTTTGTGTTTTCGGCGTTGCTCTCTCCTTCGGCTCCATCTTCAGCGACTCGAGCGGTGTCGAGCAATTCCCTTGGTGTTTGGACGACAATTTCACAGGTTTCTTCTTCTTGTACTTCCAATTACAGGCTCTACCGTTCTTCCCTGTCCTCCATGCTTGACCTCTGGCGATGAATTCTCCAGAGTGCTTCCCTGGTGCGGCTATAAGAGCAAAAACTTCAGTTGTGGACATATGAAGCTGAAAGGCGATTAGCTCCTGGTCGATCTCCGTCACTGGTACTAGAGACTTCGTTGAGAATAAGGAATCCACAAACTCTTGAGGGGAAATTCCCACGGAATCGTTGAAGGTGACCCATGCCGGATCCGATGGTGGCGGTGGTTGCAGCGGCGCGGTGGTCTGCTGGGGCTGCTGTTGTTTGTTGCTGGCGATGGAAGGTTCATCTGTGACTGGCAACTCGGTCGCCCCAAACTCCTCCACGCCCAGATGCTCTGCTCGTTCCTCACCATCGTCTGTGGCATCTTGTTCTTCGACTGCTACTGGTAGAAGCACGGTGGTGATTTCAGCTGCGAATGGTGGAAGTGAATCACTCGATGGTAAAGCCGTCCCATCGTCCTTTGTCACCTCTTCCAACTTCGACTTTAAAACCCTGGTAAGTTCTCTGAGTGAGAGCTCTTCAAATTTTGACATGGATTCAGTAAGAGTGCTCGCAACCAGAGTCGAGGTCTCCGCCGATGCTTCTTTGTCGTCCGCATCCACAACCGTCTCAGCTGCCGTCGAGTCTTCAGCTGTCGCCGCACCCTTCGCTCTCTCCCGCTTTTCCCGTTCGTAGCGGTCAAGAGACTGCTGCAACCGCTGGCTGAGACGGACCCATTATGGATCGAAGAACTTTGATGAGCTCATTCTGACTCTGATACCAGATGATAGAAACCTGTTTATTATGGTTCTATCGGATCTAGTTGTGACGTTGGGAAATTGGGGATTTATGGAGAATTGGGGAAGAATTAGGGATTTGAGAAAGAACAAGAGAATCGTCCTAGGCCTTTAGAGAGATCGAGATCGAGAATTGAGAGGATTGGGAGAATAGGTTTTAGGAGATGGATTTCTTAATATTCTTCTTATTGCTTCTAAACGAATAACAAAGTACATTTATATAGGAAAAAAGCTGAAAACCTAATAATAATCCTAAACTTAACCACCAATTAAGTAATAATTATTCCTAATATGAATATGGTAATTATGATAGAAACCCGTGGAGAATAGGTTTCTATCATGATGTTGAAGTAACATCTACACTCGAAAATGCACGATGCTAGGATCCAAATCATGAGGAATTTCTTGTTTCGAAGGGAACTTGGGTAGTAAATTGGCAATGTTTTTGGCAATGATAAGATATGAAGCAAACTTGTTAACCATTACAGGGTGTTCGAGATCTCCATCTTCCAGATCTTCTGTTCCATCCTCATGAATCTTCAGTCCAGGCACAGTTGTAATTACAGTCGACAATGCATCACCATTCCCATTGCTTGCCTTCCCTACCAGCTCCTTAAATGCCCTTTTGTTAAAGGCCCATGTACCCTTTTTGAAATTGAATCGATACAAGGTAAGAAACCTCTGGCCATATATGGATAAGAACTCCAAAGCCGCCAGAATGAACTCAAATTCTTGATTAGACATGTAGTAAGGGAAGCTGATTCTTGCCCATCCTGGCTTGATCCCAGAGTAGCCCTGCATTCAGTTTTCTTACCCATTAAATCAATAAACTCAAAACACTTCATTGAAAGCTCCGAACAGTGGATCAAAATATTAGTTTTAACTATGTTAATCTTCTTACCTTTTGTATTGCAGATCTGATTGCTAAGGATGTAGTTTCATCTACATTGAGGAGCTGGTGGCCATAAGGCCCAGCACAGGCACAACCACCACGAGCCTGAATGCCGAACAGGTCATTGAGAAGAACAGCTACGAAAGGCCCGTGCAGAGGCTTATCGAGCTTGTTTCCCATCTCTGCCCACATGTTCAGGCTTCCTTCCTGGACGCTAGTCGAGAATATGAGGAAGGACAGAATGGCTTGCCTCCTAGCTGTTGTATTTCCCAACACGAGAATGTTCTTGTTTGGGATAAGCCTCTTTAGTGCTTTGTCAATGAAATAGTCTTCATGGTTTTGAATGACTGACTAGTTGATGTATTCCTTAATCCAGAATGTCAATGAAGCTCGAATTGTCTGGATGATTGGAGGAGTTCCACCATTCTCTCGAGACTCAATTTCCTCTGAATACAATGTGTCCTGAGAAAGATGGTTGCAAGAGCAAATTAAATCAGCTAGACTAGATGGATACCCGTCTCAGGTACAGAAAGTTGACATTGTTTCCGTCAGGTATTGGAGGGAAGTCTTTACCTTCTCGTTTAGTCCATTGACATAATCAACAGTTCCACCACCACAGGTTGAAGGAGGAGCTGAGCCGAGCTGGTACAGAATTTTGTTCATCAACAGTATTCCAGGAGTTCCAGGGCCACCCAGAAACTTATGCGGGCTGAGGAATACAGCATCATAGCCATCAATCGTACCAGATCTCATGTCAATTTCCACATACGGGCCACTAGATCAACTCAAGTCAAAACAAGGTTAAGTTAGCAATAATGAAGACCGGATAGAAGACGATTTTTTGGGATGTGTAAGATTCACAAACTACCTTGCTGCATAATCAAAGCAGGCAAAACCTCCATGTCGGTGAAGAAGCTTGGCGATCTCCCGAGTATCAGAATGAATCCCGGTCACGTTACTGCAAGCTGAAAATGAACCCAGAATTGGTCTGTTTGCAAATTTACCCGACTGCAGTTCCCTCTGGAGTTCCTTGATATCAATTAACCCATTCTCATCTAGTCCAATTTCGACCACTTCAGCTAAGCTCTGGCGCCAGGAAAGTAGGTTGGAATGATGCTCGTAAGGTCCAACGAACACAACCCATCTGTTTTCTTCCCCAGTCAGACATTTCTTCAAGCACCTTTCCCGCAATGTCGACGGGACGGCGATTCCCATCACTTCCTGCAACCGCTTGATCGCCGCCGTGCTTCCGGAGCCGCAGAACAGGATCACATCCTCCGCTCCTCCGCCCAAACATCTCTTGATGTATGCGGCGGCCTCTTCCACCATTTTCGTCGTCCTGCCGCCTACGTAGCTGTCCGAAGTGTGGGAGTTGCCTGCAAACCCACGAGAAACCCGACTAATTAAAATCAATTTCAATTTTTTTTTTCATTCCAGCTCTACATCCGAACCGAAATTCACCACGCTCTATGTTGGTACCGTAGTAAGGAAGAACATTGTTGATTATGAAAGTCTCGATGTAGTGGAGGGATCTGCCGGAGGCAGTATGATCAGCGTAAGTAATCCTGCGCTTCCCGAACGGAGAATCGAATTCCGCGTCACTGCCGATGATCTGAGAGCGGACCCAGGCTAGTCGGTTGGCGGCGGAGCTGTCTTTGAGGACACCCACATCCAGGTTTCGGAAAGATTCAGAGCCCGCGTAAAGGTCCTTGGAAGATGGAGCGGAGCTGTCCTCGTCGCTGCCGCTGCTGATTTGGCTGTAGCGTGTTGCAGGAGGAGGAGCGGCAACTGCAGCTCGGGTTCCTGAACGCTTGTTGGAGCGCACATTGGAGTTGTCCATGTGCGCAGCAGCTAACGCTGGACGCTCGAGCTCCATGGCCAAACGACTAAGATAAATTTTGGGAAGTAAAGAGATTGAAGAACAGGTGGGAAACAGAGCAGGAAGTGAGAGAGATGGGTTGACTTGGGGAAGGTGTGATGTCAAGTGAAAAAGAAAGGGGGAATTTATAGCAGAGAAATTGTTTCAGCGTTCCAGTTGGGCGAAGGGAAACGCGATAGAATTAGGAGCAATTATAGATTCAAAGGAAACCGCTGCCGGCGGAATTAGATTGAAGTTTCGGGTTGCTAAGATAATCATAATTCGTAATCCAGTGGCTGCTCCGCCCAAATGAACCAAGTGGCGGCGGCTTTTCTATGGCCTGCTTATAATGACTATCCTTCAGCATTTACGCGTTCCATGCATTATGGTAGCTGCAAGCTTTGATATATCCTTTGTTATAAATATAACAATTTTTGTGAGTTATTTTGTCTATTCAACTAGATGTCGGTTGGTCACGCGTGTTTCAATTACGTGTGTTCCAACGATTCATTTTCCATATTTGAATTCTTATCGATAAGAAAAAGAGGATCACATTAATTGATGTCAACTAGAAGTTCGTATTTGGTTTTGCCCGATTATTTATCTCTTTAGCGATTTGCTAGATCCGAGTACACCCGCAAGGTGGGACAACAGAGTCACTATAGTAGTTAAAACTATTAAGCCGTAAGTATTTTTACTGTTGCATACGATAAAAACGGGCCTGCCTTTTTGATCCCGGATTACTGTTCATAAACGATAAAGTTTTTGCTTTCCTGTGGCCGAGTGTACTTTACCAACGTAAAGCTCTGGCGGCTGCCCAACCCCAAACATCTAACATTTGCTCATCATTTTTTATACATTGGGTTGTATGATGGTGACGTACATACCCTTATTACAACTCCATCTCTCCATTATTTTTCCGCTGAATAACTCCATCTCTATTTTAGGAAGAGACTAATTAGTTGAGGTGTTGGTTTTGAATTATATGGTTAACATTATTAGAGATAAATAATTTTCATTGTATTTTCTTATTTTTCCACTAACTTTCTGTTCCTGACTTTGTGGGAAGTGGCTAGCTTTCAGTTGCTACGTGTGCCTACTTTCCCTCTCCAAATCTGTATATTAGTCTCACAACAACATCAATGAGAATCAGGTTGGATTTTCCACAATCACCAAATCTGTATTCTGTTCACATGGTATCAGAGCAAGAAACAGTCATCTTGCCGATCCAGCTCTAATTCAGAGGTCGTTTGCTTTTGGTATTTTGGTGTTGGCCCAAAATCCAACATATGTTGGACTTTATTGGATTATTTGGAGCTAAAATCCGTGTGCCCCATGGATATAAAATCTTACCTCTATAGCTAGGATTTTGGAAGATAGATATAATCCATGATGTTTAATGACCGTGTTACCCCCACTCATTTTGTGTAATCCAATTTTGCCCTCGGTTATTATTATCTCTACTGAGGACTTTTATCTACACTCTCATCTCACCAACTTTGTCTCTTCGTTGCCAAGGGATTGCAACACAGCAAAAAGCTCCGGCAACCTTTTCCATCTCTGCCTATCGTCGTTTTGTCTTCCTTTTATATGAAGCTCAACAATTAATTATTTCATGCTTACATCCTCTTTTTTTATAATCCAATCCAAACCCTTGATTTTCCTTTCGACATTATTGGTTTGGGTTGAGAGTTTCAATTTACTTTAATGGCTTCTTGCGTGTATACAATATGACCAAATAGTATGGATGTTGCTGCCATTTTTACATATGCTAATTCTTCATGTATATACAAAAACATTCAAAATACAAGTAAAGTAAAAAGTGGTTCATTAAGGATAAGAAAGTAATTTCCCCCATCAAGCCATAATTCCAACCTACTAAAAGCCATTACCAAATCCTACAAACAAACATGGAAGTTTCAAAATTCAACATAATCAAAATCCAACATAATCTCTCATATTCAAAATCCAAGGTTTTATCATAATCCCTCATTTTCTAAAATCCTAGAAGCAAACGACCCCTCAATCACTTTCTCTCAAAATCCCTCTGTTACCATGTTTCTCTTTCACGCCTCTGTTCCTCTGCATTCCTCTTGCCATTATGTCTAGCTCCACTGTGTCTGACAGCTCAGCCCCCGTCGACGAATCCACCATCATCACCTTCAATCCGGCTGCTCAATTGCCGCTGAAACTGACTCCAACAAATTTCAATTCCTGGCGGTCACAGTTAGAGACTCTTCTAATGGGACTCGATCTCATAAGCTTTATCGATGATACTGGTGTTGTGCCTTCTCTTACGATCACTATCGACAGCGCAACCAAACCCAATCCAGCCTACCGTCAGTGGTTTCGGCAGGATAAGCTCATCTTGCACGCTCTCCGCTGCTCAATCTCTGAATCGCTATACTCCTTTGTGTCTGCCGCTGTAACTTCACGAGAAGCTTGGTTGATTCACGAGAAGCTGTACGCCGGTCGCTCTGGATCTCGAATCATCAATCTTAAAGGGAAACTCGCTCGAATGGTCAAGGGTGATCGAGACATTCTTACTTATGTCAATGATTTAAAACAGATCGCTGCTGAGCTTGCTCTTGTAGGCAAACCCGTCTCTGATCTCGATCTGGTTGTCCACTGCCTTCGTGGCCTTGGCTCCGATTACAATCACTTCTCGGCGGCGGTGAGAGCACGGAGATCCACCGTTTCCATTGAAGAACTCCTAGACTCCTTGATCGAATACGAAGCTGACCTCAAGGAGCAGTCAAGGATCACCACCGTACCCACCGCCTTCTATTCCCATGCTCCGCCTCGTCGCAACGGTGGCAGCTTCGTCTCTCCTGGTGGCGGCGGCTCTGTTTCTCATGGAGGAGGCAGCTCACGTTATCCTCATCAACGAAATCCACAGGGTTTCGCTAATAATTTCCATCCATCTCAGCAGGCCCAGGCGAATTCCTCAGGCGGCCCATCCTTTTCACACGAGCCCAACCGCCAGCGCAGGCCCTCTGTGGTCCGCCAATGTTTCAGGCTCTTTCCCCAGGCCTGCCAAGCATTTCACCAGGCCCGTCAGGGGCAGGCTAATATTACTCAAGTGGGCTCTTCTTCCTCTACTGGGCCTTGGCTTATGGATACAGCAGCTTCCCATCATGTGACTCCGGATTTGGGCCAATTATCATTATACTCTGATTATACAGGTCCCGATGAGATTCTTGTTGGTGACGGCTCAGGTTTGACAATATCACATATTGGCTCATCAAATATTTGCTTTGGTTCTGCTCAATTTCATTTACGAGACCTCTTATGTGTACCTACTATCAAGCGACGCATCATTTCGGGCGCTAAATTATGTCAAACTAATCTGGTTTCTGTGGAATTTTTTGCCACACATTTTCTTGTGAAGGATCTTCGCACGGGGGCGCATTTGCTGAAGGGGGAAAACAACGGTGATGTCTATGAACTGCCTAGGGAGGTGGAGAAAGTTCATTTGGCCTTGGTTACCACACGCACATCGACAACTTCCTGGCATGCTCGGTTGGGTCATCCCTCTCATCAATCTCTCACTAGTCTTATTCGGTCTTATTCTCTTCCAGTTTCGTCCTTGGTAGCAAGTTCTGCTTGTGATTCTTGTCTTTGCAATAAAAGCCATAAATTGCCCTTTTTCGGTCTCTTCTTTATCGAGTGAGCGTCCTTTTGATCTCTTGTATACGGATGTTTGGGGGCCTGCTCCCGTTTCTTCAATTGATGGTTATTGCTATTACTTGATTATCATTGATCATTTTACTCGATATACTTGGTATTATCCTTTACGTCGTAAATCCGATGTTCTTCAAGTTTTTCTCGATTTCAGAAAAATTGTTGAAAATTATTTCTCTACTACCATTCATCGTTTATACACTGATGGTGGTGGAGAATTTCAAAAATTATGTTCTGCTCTTCTTGAAAATGGCATAACTCATCTTCTCACTCCTCCTCATACACCTAAACATAACGGTATTGCTGAGTGTAAACACCGTCACTTGGTTGAAACTGGTATAACTCTTCTTCATCATGCTCACCTTCCTGTCTCTTTTTGGTCCTTTTCTTTTTCCACGGCTATTTACCTCATCAATCGTCTTCCATCCTCTGCCTTGCGTGGTAAAATTCCTTACACTCTTCTCTTCAATCTCTCTCCTAATTATCATAAACTTCGTGTCTTTGGCTGTCTCTGCTATCCCTGGCTTCGTCCATATTCTTGGCACAAACTTGACCCTCTCGTCCGTGTCTGTTCCTTGGTTATTGTCCTCAACGTAGTGCTTATCGGTGTTTTGATTCTCACACTCACCGTATATTCTTTTCTCGCCATGTCATATTTGTTGAGGATAATTTTCCAGGCTTTCCCTCCACTCCATCCACTGAGCTTCCCCAACCGGCAACCTGGCTATTTGATCTTTCTCCCCCAATTACTCTCCTCCCAGGTCGCTCATTACACCACCCAGCAGCAAGTGGGCCTCCCCTGGCCCATTCCCCTTAGCAGATGACTCTCCCCAGCGAGATTCTCCTTCGCGTGGGCCCTCCTCAGCACCCCGGCCCACCCCTCCAGCAGTTTCCCCTCCGTCTGGGCCTGTCCCTGCCCCTGCCCCGGCCCGCTTCTCCGCCAGTCACTCCTCCGTCTGGGCCTCCCCAGCCCCTTGGTCCACCGCCTCCACCTGTTCACTCCCATACTATGCGCACGTGAGCCCAGTCCGGCATCTTCAGGCCCAAGCGCCTTTTTCACTCTCATTTATCAGCTGGGCCGCCTCCTCTCCAGCCTCTCTCGGTCAAGGAGGCTTTGCAATTTCCAGAATGGCGCCAGGCCCTTTCCGCTGAAAACCAGGCTCTTCTCGCCAATGCCACTTGGGACTTAGTCCCTCGACTACCTCATTATAATGTTCTCGGCAATCGTTGGGTCTTTCGTGTTAAGCATCATTCTGATGGTGCTATTGAACGTTTTAAGACTCGTTTGGTGGCAAAGGGGTTTCATCAGCGTCCAGGGCTCGACTTCACTGACACGTTCAGTCCGGTTGTCAAGCCTGTCACCGTTCGAACTGTCTTCACCCTGGCTCTCTCTCAAAATTGGCCAATTAGTCAATTCGATGTCAATAATGCTTTCCTGCAGGCTCCCTTACATGAAGAGGTTTATATGGCTCAGTCCCCTGGCTTTGTTGACCCCGACCGCCCCACTCATGTTTGTCGTCTCCGGCGGGCTATTTATGGACTTCGTCAAGCTCCCCGGACATAGTATATGGCTTTGACGGATTTTCTCATTGCGTTTGGCTTCGTCAAAACGCACTCCAATGCCTCCCTCTTCGTTTATTCCCGCGGGGGTACACTTCTCTATTTTTTGGTCTATGTTGATGACCTTCTGCTCACTGGCAATGATACTGCTGTCCTCTCCATGTTTCAAGAGGCCCTCTCCGCACGTTTTTCTCTCAAGGCCCTCGGGGATGTGAATTATTTTTTGGGGATTGAAGTTATCCCCACTGCAGAAGGGTATATGCTCTCCCAGCATAAGTACATGGTGGATGTTCTCCAATGTTTTCTGATGACTGATGCCAAGTCTGTTGATACTCCTCTTGCGGCTTCCACCTCTCTCACTCTCACTGATGGTACTCCACCCACGGATGCTACCCGCTATCGCCAAGTCATTGGGGCTCTACAATATCTCGTGTATACGCGTCCGGATATTGCATACTCTGTCAACAAGCTCTCTTAGTATATGCATGCTCCGACGACGTCTCATTGGAAATGTGTTAAGCGACTCCTTCGCTATGTCTCTGGTATCCTCACCTATGGTCTCTCCATTCGTCGGTCCTCTGGTTCCCTCTCACTCCCTGCTTTTGCCGATGCTGACTGGGCGGGGAATCTCGATGATCGCTCATCGACATCTGGTTATCTAGTTTATCTCGGCTCCACTCTAATCTCCTGGCGCTCGCAAAAGCAACGGACGGTGGCTCGTTCCAGCACTGAGGCCGAGTATCGTGCCATTGCCAATGCCACTGCCGAGTTGGAATGGGTTCAAAATCTTCTACATGAGCTTTTTCATCCACTGGCTGGCGCCCCTACACTCTACTCTGATAATCTTGGTGCTACCTACTTCAGCTCCAACCCGGTTTTTCACTCTCGTATGAAGCACCTGGTGATTGACTATCACTTTGTTCGTCAACTCGTCCAGGCTGGCCGGCTCCGTGTCTCCTACGTTCCCACGTCACACCAACTCGCTGATGCTCTCACTAAACCACTACCATCCACTCACTTTCTTTTACTTCGAGCCAAGATCGGAGTCGTTGATACCTCCTCCGTCTTGCGGGGGCGTATTAGAGATAAATAATTTTCATTGTATTTTCTTATTTTTCCACTAACTTTCTGTTCCTGACTTTGAGGGAAGTGGCTAGCTTTCAGTTGCTACGTGTGCTTACTTTCCCTCTCCAAATCTGTATATTAGTCTCACAACAACATCAATGAGAATCAGGTTGGATTTTCCACAATCACCAAATCTGTATTCTGTTCACAAACATAAGTTAAATGGGTTGGTTATTTAGTTATTTTCCCCCATCTCCTGCAAAACAATTTCACTATAAGGTCTTTTCTCATGTTGTCCCTTTCTGTAGCGGGTACCATTCGTGAATTTTTTTTATTCATATACTCAATTTTATCATAAACTATTTCTCTCATATACTCAGCTGTATAGGTAGTTTTTTTTATTTTCCATCTCCTACACCCTATATCCGTATAAGCTCTTTTTCCCCTATAGTAAACTATGTATGTACATTTTCATTTCACATTACGGAATGTTTACACTTTATTGCGAATGCATTACGTAAATTTTTTCATTTCATATTACAGAGATTTATGTATTACAAATCTATTACATAAAATAATCATTATTCTTTAACAAAATAAGGGTAGTATTAAATATGTTACAATTTTTTGTAGTGGGTACCATTCACAAAGTTTTTTTATTCATATACTCAATTTTCTTATAAACCCTTAGTTTTTTTCATCTCCTACACCCTATTTTAGTATAAAGCTCTTTTTCTCATATAGTCAACTATGTATGTACATTTTCATTTCACATTACATAATGTTTATGCATTGCAATGCATTACGTAGACCTTATTATTAACTACAATAATGCTTATACCTTATTATTACAGAGATTTATGTATTACAAATCTATTACATAAAATAATAATTATAACCAATTTTATCATAATCCATTTTTTCTCTTATAGTTGGTTATTTAGTTATTTTCCCCATCTCCTCCAAAACAATTTCACTATAAGGTCTTTTCTCACGTTGTCCCTTTCTGTAGCAGGTACCATTCGTGAATTTTTTTATTCATATACTCAATTTTATCATAAAATATTTCTCTCATATATTCAGCTGTATATGTAGTTTTTTTTTATTTTCCATCTCCTACACCCTATATCCTTATAAGCTCTTTTTCCCCTATAGTAAACTATGTATGTACATTTTCATTTCACATTACGGAATGTTTACACTTTATTGCGAATGCATTACGTAAACTTTTTCATTTCATATTATAGAGATTTATGTATTACAAATCTATTACATAAAATAATCATTATTCTTTAACAAAATAAAGGTAGTATTAAATATGTTCTCCATTTTTTGTAGCGGGTAACATTCACAAAGTTTTTTTATTCATATACTCAATTTTATTATAAACCCTTAGTTTTTTTCCATCTCCTACACCCTATTTTAGTATAAAGCTCTTTTTCTCATATAGTCAACTATGTATGTACATTTTCATTTCGCACTACATAATGTTTATGCATTGCAATGCATTACGTAGACCTTATTATTAACTACAATAATGCTTACTATCTCATCAATTATCATTATACAAAATTTATGTAAGGTAAGTTTACTTTACATAGTAGTTTAATTAAATGTAACACTTTCTATAACTGCTTTTATTATTAGACCACACATTATAGAAGATTTACATAATACCATTCTATAAAAATTATATAGCTTATAAATAAATTACTTAAAGCTTACAAAGGAATATTTATTCCTTATTTATCAATTAAGTATAACATATTACATAAGACTTTCAAAGTAATAAAAAAAATATGTAAAGCATATGGAGGAATCGTAATTTCTTAAGTATCAAGTAAAAATGTAATAAGCAAATAGTTCATAACATAAGTTTGAATGAGATTTTTAAATTTTAACTAAACTATTGACTATCTCATCAATTTGTACTACACAATGGTTTTGTATGGTCAGTTAGTTTTATATAACATTTTAATCAAATGTGATACTTTTCATACTAATTCACTAAATAAATTTCTTCAATATTACCCACAATATTAGCTATCTCTTCAATTTGTATTATGCAAAGGTTCATTAAAATAAGTTGATTTTGCATAATGATTTCACCAAAAGTGGGAATCGTAAGTTCATTTTATTTTATTATTAGACCACACATTACAACAGATTTATATAACATTGTTTTATAATAATTACACAAATTAAAAATACAGCACATAAACATTATGAAGGAATAATTATTCTCATATACCAATTACTTAAATCATTAAATGAGTTGATAAAATTTTAAATATAAATAATTTTTTATCGCCGCGAAGCGCGGGCCAAAAAACTAGTACTCATTGAAGAACAAGAGAACCACATTAGTGATTTTCAAAATGTGTGTTTTTAGATAAAATTGCATTCCATTAATTACTCAAAGTCATAAAAGTTTTCAGGATAATCCTCTTTAAGAAGAGGTTCTAGAAAAAAAGGTGGTCTGTCTACCCACACCTCCTTTGCATTCCAGTTGCAGTTCACATGGGCCAAAAAGTGGGCCAGTTTGTTCTTATTTCGACATGCAAAGCTTTAAATTACCCTATCAAAAGCTTGGGCTTTTGCCCGAATCTCCTCACAGAGCAGCCCAATCTCGATCTGTCTTTCTTCCTCGCGTCGAGGCTGGGAGATCATTCCCTGGCTATCTGACTCTATCTCCATTTCGCGAATCTCGAATCTCCTGGCCAGCTCCATTCCGAAATCGATAGCCAAAGCTTCCGCTTCTTTTGGGTTCCATTGAACTCTCGATCTCTTTACTGTCGCAATTAGGCATCGTCCTTCTCTGTTTCTGATCACTCTCCGAAATGCATGCGGCATCAACATTAATCTTCACCGGAGTCAGTGTCGGTGACTGCCATCGGGACTCTTGAGTCCGTTCAACCGGTTGGAGTTTCATTTGTTTGTCAAGGTAATCCTTCAGCCAACCATTTGTTTTGGGTGCAACCTTCCATTCTTCTAATTTCTTTTTGTTCCACAACTGGCAGTTTCGCTGATACTAGATATACCAGAAGGCCGCCAAGAAGGATCCAAGCTTTTCATCACATTCTGTTTCTTGCAGCTCGCAATACCAATCCTCTGAGGTAAGATTTTCCCCTCTTTCTATATATGAATCCATTGAGTTGAACCGCCAAACCCTTAGCACCCATCCACAATCACGGAAGATGTGGTCTTGTGTCTCCTTTAGGTCACAAAAAGGGCAACCCTCAGAGCGCTTTTGTGTTCGTTCCACGATCCTAATATTTTTTTTTTTACAAATCAGTTCATTATATAGCAACCGGGCCAAGCCCAAAGGAAAAGTTTACATTGTGCAGCAAAGTTAGAGAAAAGACCCAAAGACCAAACAGAGACCAACAACCCAGTCAAAGAGCCCAACAAGGCACAACTTCTCTGACCTAGCTGAACAAAGCTCCCCGTGGAACCCTCGCCGCCGCTGGAGACTTCGAGCACCACCACCTGCCGCCAACCCAAGTCGAGGGACGACGAACCAACATGCCAAAAGGGGAAGAGGTGGAACCAACCAACCCGAAAGGAGGGCGCCTCTGAACCGCCTTCACCAGACCAAACACCTTCAACCCTCAAAACCAGAAAAGTCAAGAAAACCTCAGATCGAAAGGGCGGCCGGTTGGGGAGCCATGGGGAATGAACTTCTGCCTCCAAAACCTTCACTCCGAGTCCAAGCCATGGACCCATCATCTCCGAAACACCGAGATCTGCAAGGTGAAGCAAGGAGGTAGACAAACGAAAAGAAGATGAAGAGGCAAGCTGGATTCAAACCAATCCAGCCTCCATTGCTACATAGATTGAACCATCTCCAGTTCTAATAGATTAGAACAGAGGGCAAAAGTTCAACCCACCAAGGGGAGGAAGGGAACCCACAAAGGGGTTGGAAGAGAGATCCACACAGAGGAAGATGCAGAAACATGTAATCAAACAAAGTCAGAAGCATCCGAGAAAAGAGAAGGGGTTGGGCCATCACCGGTCACCAGAGGGAGCCGGCGGCAGCCCTGTACAAATGGGGAAAGGAACTTCCTTGAAGAGAGAAGGGCGGGAGAGCAAATGTTTTCAAATTAAAGTTTGTTCCACGATCCTAGCTCCTGTAGGGATAATGTTCTGTAGTCACCTCCACTCCAACCAAAGATTTTCACCTTTGGGGGGATTTCTAGGTTCTAGAATCTCTTCCACTTCACTAGTGAATAGAATTCCCCCTCCTTCTCGACATTTCTGTCCTCCCACAGTCTGTATGCTGACTTTAGTGAATATTCTCCCCTCTGATCCTTACTCCATATTCTCTTATCCTCCGTTGGCTGCCTTGGGATAGGGATTTTCTAAATTCGAATTCAATCCACAAAGTTAAAATGTGTATAGAGTAAATCAGTTCGCCAACTTCGTGTCTGATGATCAATCAATTCGGCCACTGAGGTTGTGGCCGATTTTCCAAATGTGTTTGTTGTTCCCCAATCGGTACCTATGTATTGGCCAACGAGTCCATTTTTTTATTTTTTGTTTCACCTTATTCCAAAATGTGTTTTTTCGATTCTTATTTGGCTACTTAGATGTTCCTATTCATCAAATGAGAGCTAGGTCTGCAATTTTTTTAGTTTGTATTCTTTACAGATTAGTTTATTCTCTCTTACAATCACATGTAACATTCCACATTACTCGCTTTACGCGAAGCGCAGCGAGCGGGCATGGCTAGTTCATCCTTTAAATCACAACTTCAAATTGTATCATAATGTTAAAGATACAAGTTCAAATTGTATTATAAGGGAATTTGTACATTTATGTTATGATACAACTTCATATTGTACCATAACATAAAGTTACAAATCCAGGTTATACCATAAAAGAATTTGTACATAAGAATATATTTACAACCTGAAGTCGTATCATATGTTAAAGGTACAACTTTGTAAAATTTCACTTTTATAAAATGCTTTTATTTCAAAAATGTTAAATATAAAATGGTTTAATTTATATTGGATTGATGGAATCTATCTATGAAAATATGCATAGACGCCAACCAATGCTTACTTTTTTTTTTTTTTTATGCTTACGGAGTTTGGTAATATAACTGCATAGGTTCTATATAAAACAATGTCTACATATTTCTCTAGATTATGACGTTCAAACTTCCTAAACTAGACTTAAAAAATCTCATTCTGTACAAACCATTAGATTAATTCTAATGAAGTAATGATACATTATGTTCAATCAACTTATTAACAAATTTCCTTAATAAACTGGATTTTTTTCGTTGACCTCAATTGCTTTTATGAATCCGCAATCGAGTATACAGCCGAAAGCTCTAAAAACAGTATAGACCGTTTGAAAAATTAAGGACCAATCTAAACCACATAGTTTGGTCCAGACGTTAGACCTTTCATAATATTTTGGTAAGGTCAATGATCTATACTATAGAATTTATTAATTTTTTTTTATCTAGTTTAGTTCAGATTACAGTTTATCAGATTAAACCGTGGATCCAACCCATTTCTCAATTCATGTTAATTAGCAGCTCACCGCCACTCTCTCAACTCCTCAACGAAACCCAAATCTCAACCTTAAAATTTTTAATCACATCTCTTCCTTCATTAATAAACTACACTCTGCCACAGTGTAGAGACGATCATGTCTCCATACGACATCATATTATTGTTTATGACGTTACAGTGCAAGTTGGTTGCTCTGACTTTGTGTATTATATTATTTACATGAATTATGGTATCAAAATTATGCATCCGTGTTGAAACTTATATTTTTCTCGATTATTGGTTTAATTCTTGTGCGGTGGACTAAACAAACTATTCATTTTTCATTCAATGTGGTATTCATGGTCTAAACTGTACCAGACCTCACAGGCATGGTCTGCATGGACCATGTAGCATTGGGTCTGATGCCTGGTCTGCTCCATCTTCTTGGTCTGAACAATAAACCATATGCATGGTCTGATCTAGACACACGCAATCAGTAATCTTCCCTCCACAAAATCAATTTGTACCTTTCGACAATAATTCCTAGGACCACGAGCCAAACTATAAAATTTAATCAAGGTACATAATTTTACAACACAGAGAGAGAATGATTCAACAATAGCCCTTTCGACATCAACTTATTGAAAACTTTTGCAATAGAGCATTTGCTCATTACCTTTCCATTCCAACAAAGAATGTAACCTTGTTGGCAAAAATGAGAATGGGTGAGCGAATGAATCTTCAAAATAATTATCCATGTTGACGGATTACATGGAATATATCTTACAGTCTAGAAGCTACCATCTGTTACCATATATTTTCTCATCCATGCCAACCAAATAGTCCCACACTTCATAAGAAGGGGCCACAAAAAACCAAGCCGTATAACCGTGATTCCAACCCTTGGTCTAGCCACTCTATCCCATCCCACTTTTGATCCATCGGCATCCCCAATGATGCGACCTGGATCAAGTCACATGACATCACTCAAGTTCAAAGAACATATAACTATCGTGGTCCTAAAATGAAAGCTCTAAAGGCTCGGGAAGGTAAATTTGAGGGTCTCTTTGGCCAAGAGATGATCAACGATGGAGCTGGAGCTTTTCGAAGGTTGAGTCATGGTCTTAGGTCAAGTTGGGATGAAAGCGCCAATTTCCCGCATAGTAGAGGAAAATGGCCTGACCGGGGTTGAGGAAACAGACTGGACACATCCAGAATGGCGTGTACGTGAGTGGGGATCGAGTCGAGCTGCTGCTGCTAAGTTTTTCTATTTCGTGTTGGACTTTGTTTAATTGTCGTTTTGCACTTGTTTTAGGGTTATTTTGCCCCTCCTTTATAAAGGGATGAGTTCTTTTGTATGAGACAATGAACCAATTTTTATTTATCACATAAATCGAAATATTTTCGAATTCAAGTTTTGAAAGACTATGCAAACTCTTCGTCGAGGATTCTATCGAATTGTACGAGGCTCTTATCAACCAGACTATCACATTTGGTCGTGGCGAGCGATGACTATACCGATTGGACTTTCCCACAGGTTTGGGATCATTTGACCAATTTCCGCGTTATCTTTACTTTTCGTGTTCTCGAAGAAAACCCTAGAAACCTACTCAAGGGAAAAAGGAGAAGAAGTAGAAGATCTAGAGAGTATTCTGAAGTTTTTTTAATATTGGTTGAGCTGCAGACATAGAAGAAGCAATAAGAGCCTCGATGACTGAGATGTAAACAATGATGTAAGCACAAGCTACTCGTGAGGCAAGGAGGGACGCAAGATTGGATGCCTTAGAGGCAAGATTGCAAGCGCCACAAGTACAAGTCCCTATTGACGAAAACCCTAAACTCAACCAAGAGGGGGTTCACCGAAGAGAGGGTTTAGGAGGTCGAGTTCCACCACTGATGTTCAAAGGGGCAAGAAGACAATGTTGTCGACAACGACAACTAGGACAACCTCGCAATGCAAGAAGGAATCCAATACAATTCCGACAGGAGGAAGAAAGAGACGAGTACGAGGAAGAAGGTCCATACCCACGGGATAAAGAAGATGATAGGAGGAACATGAAACTATAAATTCCATCATTTCGAGGAACAACTGACCCGGGTGCATATCTCGCCATGGAGCGAAAGATGGAGCTGATTTTTGTCTGCTATCACTATTCAGAGAAAAGAAAGATGACTCTAGCTGCTCTTGAATTTAGTGATTATGTTATGGTTTGATGGGATCAGTTGTGCACAAGGAGAAGAAGGAATCGAAAGAGGCCTATTGAGACATGGGATGATATGAGATGCATCTTGCAAGACAGATTCGTACCAAGCTCTCATCAACACGAGATGCATCAAGCTCTGCAACTTCTCCGAAAAGGCACCAAGAGTATTGAAGATTATAATAGAGAGATGGAGATGCTGATGATTCGAGTTGATGTTCGTGAAGACAAGTAAGCTACCATAGCTTCATTTCTATATGGGCTTAATCGAGGGATCATAAAATTATGGAGATCCAACCATTCGTTGAACTTGATGAATTGGTGACAATGGCAAGTAAGGTGGAGAGGCAATAGAAGGGGAGAAGGATCTTACCCTCCCCTAGCTCCACGAGACCTACTCAAGCTACCACAACAGAACCTAAACCTATCGAGGAATCACCAATACTGGCTGCCAAGGTTGACGTAAAAAAGCATGGTAATTCATCCAATGGTATTCATTGTTTTAAATGTCATGAGCGAGGGCACATTGCGAGCCAATGTTAAAACAAGAGGTTTTTTATTCTGTTGGAAAATAGAGATTACGTGTCTGACGTTGAAGAAGAAGCACACATCAAGAAAGCAGCCTTAGAATCTGAAGTAGATGAGACCATAGAGATGAAAGCACCTCCAGGCAAGCTACTTGAGGAAACTGAAGAGCGACCTATGCAAGGGAACTATTCATATGTAGCTCGTCGAATTTTGAATGTGAAACATCGGGAAGAGATTGAGCAACGAGAAAACTTGTTCCATACTCATTGTTTGGTCAATTGGAAGCTATGTTTGTTGTTCATAGATGGAGGAAGTTGCACGAATGTAGTGAGTGCAATCGTGGTGAAGAAGTTAGAGCTGAGTAAGTTGAAGCATCCCAGACCCTATACTATGCAGTGGCCAAATGAACAAAGGGAGAAAACTTGTTTCATTCATGTTGCCCCTTCGTTTGTGCCTTGGACTTGAACTCTATAAACGATTAGTTTTGGTTGATGAATAGTCCAGTCGAGACTTGTATTCATTTGTGAATAGGGTGAGAAATTTTTATTTGCACATTCTTTATGCATTCGAATGTCATTTGTGGTGGATGTTGGTATTGTATGTAGCGGTTCATGTGTTGATGTCCACTAGCCATTGAGATTCACCACTTTGTGCCCTTTGATCTGTCCCCAAGTTATCTTGGGGACAAGCAAACATTTAAGTGTAGGGGAGTGATTAGGGCCTAATTGTATACTTTTTACCATCGTTTTCCTTAGGCGTTTAAGGCATTTGCACTCGGAGAGGTGTGGTATTACGCTAGATTTTTCCTTGTTTTAGCATGTTTCGGACTCAAACATGTGGAACCAGCCCCGGAGTCAGAAGTTGGGTGAAAAGGCGCAAAATCAGGTCAAAGGCTGGAGGCAGCCGCAGATCACAGCAGAAGCAGATAGTTCACGGTCAGCAGGACCGTGAACCAAAGCCAGAGACCGTGAAGCGCCATGCGTTCAGAGCCTTTTTCGGTCTCACTAGACTCAATTTATTTCACGGTCGTAAGACCGTGAACCAAAATGAGAGACCGTGAAGAGCTTAAACGACGCGGTGCATTTTTGCTCTAGTTCACGGTCCCCGCTAGATGTTCATGGCTGTGAACTGGACCGTGAATCAAGCTCGACTTGGGTATAAAAGAGGCTTGAGCTGAAGGAAGAAGGGGGGAGACCTAGTGTGAGAAACTTCTTCTTCTTCAGATTTCTAGAGTGAGAAAGTGACGAACCTAAGTTAGGGTTTCACCTTCATGCAAGGTTTTGGGAATTCCTTCCCCAAAGGAGGACATCTTCAACATAAGCAGCAAGGCTAGCATCTCCATGATGATTTTCCTTCTTCTCCCTTGTGTTTTCCCTTCTCCTAGCATGGGGTAATCCCTTATTTCACTTGGGTGTTTGTAAACACTAGCTACAATTATGTGAATGTTTGTATGGGTTGAATGATTTGTGTGTGGGTTTGTTTTAATATGAATTTGGAGGTATTTTCATGGAAGATTGTGTTGTGTGTTTGCCTATCAATCTATTTTGTCATTCTAACCTAGGTAGAGAGAAACCCCTTTCTTTGAAAGAGACTTGTAAAGCTAGGTTTTCTTAGGCAAATCTTGTCTCATATCTTGGTTAATGTAGGGAAACCATCTTTGTTCGTATTAGCACCTTGGGTTGGTTATAATTTGGCCGTCCGAACTCCCATTCGAGGGTTAGGTCTTGGCAACCCTTAGTCAATAGGTTAAGAGAGTACTTCAGTATCTTGAACCAAATTCCCTTGACCTATTGACCGAGAGAGTGGCGTTTGTTCACTTGTTCCACTTCCCCTACGGTTTACAACCTCCTTACCACACGTGTTCATTCGATCCGACAAGTCATAATTGCTACCTAGGGGGAGCAACACCCGGGTGAAGCCTTCTCAATTAGTGCCAAATCCATTTACTTTTTTCGAACGTTTTAGCTTTAGATCATTGTGTTCACCAGAAACCAATCACTAGATAATGTTTCAAACAATCGAAGTTAGGGTTTCACCTTCATGCAAGGTTTTGGGAATTCCTTCCCCAAAGGAGGACATCTTCAACATAAGCAGCAAGGCTAGCATCTCCATGATGATTTTCCTTCTTCTCCCTTGTGTTTTCCCTTCTCCTAGCATGGGGTAATCCCTTATTTCACTTGGGTGTTTGTAAACACTAGCTACAATTATGTGAATGTTTGTATGGGTTGAATGATTTGTGTGTGGGTTTGTTTTAATATGAATTTGGAGGTATTTTCATGGAAGATTGTGTTGTGTGTTTGCCTATCAATCTATTTTGTCATTCTAACCTAGGTAGAGAGAAACCCCTTTCTTTGAAAGAGACTTGTAAAGCTAGGTTTTCTTAGGCAAATCTTGTCTCATATCTTGGTTAATGTAGGGAAACCATCTTTGTTTGTATTAGCACCTTGGGTTGGTTATAATTTGGCCGTCCGAACTCCCATTCGAGGGTTAGGTCTTGGCAACCCTTAGTCAATAGGTTAAGAGAGTACTTCAGTATCTTGAACCAAATTCCCTTGACCTATTGACCGAGAGAGTGGCGTTTGTTCACTTGTTCCACTTCCCCTACGGTTTACAACCTCCTTACCACACGTGTTCATTCGATCCGACAAGTCATAATTGCTACCTAGGGGGAGCAACACCCGGGTGAAGCCTTCTCAATTAGTGCCAAATCCATTTACTTTTTTCGAACGTTTTAGCTTTAGATCATTGTGTTCACCAGAAACCAATCACTAGATAATGTTTCAAACAATCGAAGTAGGGGTACATGGACCGGCTCAGGTTGATATTCAAACATACTTGCCCTATATTACACCCAATTAAGGTTTATACTTAGCTTGGGTCCTAATTGGGAGTTTTAGTGCGATATTCGGGACGAGTCACGGTTACGTATATTACACACATTACGTAAATTTTAGGGTGAGTTAGTATTTCCTATGTGTCAATCAAACAAACCTATTACGAAAGTCCATAAATATTCAGACACTCCATAATGGGAGGTATATTATCCAACTAGTTTGTTAATTAATTGATTTGAACATAATCCAATGAACAGATGAAGAAGTAAATATAATTAGTTTCTTACCGCGCTGTAACGATGCGAACAATATCACAACGTACTTAAGTGTCTCTATATACTGGCCTTAATCACATGGTGAACTTAGAAGCCATTACGGTCTGATCAGAGTTGGGCAGCTCGTTCATTATTGTCCGACTCTGACTCTCAAACTTGAAGACCCTGTAGTTTTGGTATGCTAGTTTGAACATTACTCATCAGAATCATTAAGAAATTGATCTCCAGCCCTACAAATGACAGAAAACTTGCTGTGGCGTGGCCATCGGTGTGGCTTCACCTTGTCGAGCATAAAATCCAACCACTAGAGAACTCATCTTAAGCAGTTTAACTTTCTTCATTTAATTCATTGATTAAATAGATGGGTTTGTATTGATTTCATCATCTTTTTGTTGTATTCGGAAGTGCAGTTTTACTCATCCCTGAAAGAACCAAATGGCCTTCGAGGTATGTATGTCATTGACTCGGTCACAAGTTTCACATTTGCAACCTGCAAACGATACTCTGAACCGTCCTGGTCTGCGCGTCGGGGACGAAGTCCCCTAGATAATAAAACTGTTCTTAATCGCGTCACTCGCTCCTTTCTCCAACTAGCAACAACCGTTGAATCAGAGCCCCAAATGCATCCACAGCCTCCAATGGCTCTCTTCACCATCGCCATCCTCTTCGCAACTCTGCCGTCCCTCGTACACTCCGTCTCCTTCAAGTTCGCAAACTTCAGCCCCAACATGATCAACATTAACTTCCAGGGAGATTCCTTCTCCTCCAACGGCGTCCTCCAGCTCACCAAGAACGCCGTGGGGGAGAGCCTCAGAAGGAGCGCCGGCCGCGCCACGTTCCGCCAGGTCATCCCTCTGTGGGACTTCAAAACAGGGGAGCTGACGGACTTCACCACGCACTTCACATTCACCATGAAAGCAACCAACCTGACCAAACGCTACGGCGACGGGATGACCTTCTTCCTCGCCCCCGAAGGCTCCGAGATCCCGGCCAACTCCACCGACGGGTTCCTCGCCTTGTTCGGCCCCGACACCGCCCTCAACGCCACCAGGGACCACCAGATCGTGGCGGTCGAGTTCGACAGCAATCGGAACTCCTGGGATCCGAGCGACGATCACGTCGGGATCGACGTCAATTCGATCCGCTCCGTCGAGTCCAAGCAATGGAACAGCAGCATCAAGGACGGCAGGATGGCCAACGCCTGGGTGAATTACAATTCCACCACCAAGAACCTGAGCGTCTACCTCACCTACGCCGAAAACCCCGTCTACAACGGAACCTCCAGCCTTTCGTACGCCGTGGATCTGCGCCAAGTCCTGCCCGAATTCGTGACGGTCGGCTTCTCCGCTTCCACGGGGATTTCAACTCAAATCCACAACGTTTTCAGCTGGGAATTCAATTCCACCTTGGAGACCCCGACCCCGAAAACCTCCAAATTAGCTGGAGTAGCGATCGGCTTGGGAGTAACGTTCGGCCTGTTGATTGCTGGATTCGTCATGCTTCTGTTTTTCTACCGGAGAATCAGAGCTTGCAGAGGAGACGACGAGGACGGAATCGACGTCGCGATGGACGACGAATTCGAGAAGGGGACGGGACCGAAGCGATTCAGCTACAGGGAACTGAGCCGGGCGACGGGCAATTTCGCGGATTCGGGGAAGCTGGGGGAAGGAGGGTTCGGCGGAGTGTACAAGGGCTTGCTCGACGGCGGCGGCCAATCCGCCGCGGTGAAGAGGGTTTCGAGAGGATCGAGGCAGGGGAAAAAAGAGTACATCTCCGAGGTGCGGATCATCAGCAGGCTGAGGCACAGGAACCTGGTGCAGCTGATCGGTTGGTGCCACGAGAAGAGCGAGCTCCTCCTCGTCTACGAGTTCCTCCCCAACGGGAGCCTCGACCAGCACCTCTTCGGCGAGAAACTGATGCTGCCGTGGTCCGTCAGGTACAAGATCGCGCTCGGGCTGGCGTCGGGGTTACTGTACCTCCACGAGGAGTGGGAGCAGTGCGTCGTTCACAGAGATATAAAGTCGAGCAATGTGATGCTGGATTCACAATTCAACGCGAAATTGGGCGATTTCGGGCTGGCGAGGCTGGTGGACCACGAACTGGGCTCGCAGACGACGGTGCTGGCCGGGACGATGGGGTATCTGGCGCCGGAGTGCGTGACGACGGGGAGGGCAAGCAAGGAATCGGATGTTTACAGCTTCGGAGTGGTGGCGCTGGAAATCGCGTGCGGGAGGAGGCCTGTGGATCCGAAGCAGGAGCTGAGGAAGGTGAGGCTGGTGGAGTGGGTTTGGGATTTGTACGGGAGCGGGCGGATTCTTGAGGCGGTGGACTGGAGGCTGGCGGCGGGGGGCGGCGGTGAGGGGGATTTCGATCGGGATCAGGCGGAGCAATTGATGATCGTGGGGCTGTGGTGTTGTCATCCTGATGAGGCGAATCGGCCGTCGATCAGGCAGGTGATTGGGGTGCTCAATTTTGATGCTCCGCGGCCGAGCCTGCCGTCGAAGTTGCCGGTGCCGATGTACTACGCGCCTCCGCTGGATCTGTGTAGGTTCACGTATAAGACGACGACGACGAAGGACGGGGAAGTAGGGAAGACGGATGTTTCGTATCCGAGTTACACGACGGGGTCGTCGACCGGCTCGGCATGGTCCGGCGACGCGCTGCTGGTTTCGCGTAAGGACGATGGGGTTCCGGCGGCTAATCCAGGGAAGATTGGCTAGCTTCTTGCCTTCTTAATTGTTGGACTTTGTTTCTTTTTTGTTTTATTATGTTATCAAGGTTTGTGTTCTTTCTCTCTGCCTGTAGATTTACCAATTTCATGTCACAAAGTATTTTGTAACTTTTTCATAAAAGCAAAAACAATGTTTATGTGACTTGAATCGAATTATCAGCCGCTACGATTGGTAGTCGGGGGTCTCGCTGTCCGATCAATGTTATTTGAGTTCGGGTTCTGGGCCTGGTCTGTAACCGTTTCATTTGTCAGATTGGATTAGGTTTAGACCCACATGGAGAAGTACTATAAATACTTCTCATACTCCTCTATAATCTTTCGATATAGTGAAACTGGCTCTCTCTCGCCCGTGGACGTAGCTAACACATATCGTGTTAGTGAACCACGTAAATCGTGTGTCTGTGTTTTTCGATTCTCGCTTTCGTATTCTTGCTTTATCGATTCCGACGATTTCCTGATCCATAGCAGCGCGTTTATAACAGTTTATTTTGTTCAATGAATCAAGTCTCTTGGCACCACTAGACACAAAACATTCAAAGTATTTTTTTCATTATTCACGTAAATTTGAGCTTATTCATGTCATATTTTCGTTATTCACGTAAGAGTGTTGATCAACCGATACTGTTAGGTCACGCAATCTGGTGTTTATTCACGCATATTGTTATTCATTCATGTCGTTGTAAAATCAAATTTCAAACTTTGAAATATATCAAAATGGATCTAATTGTATAGATTATGATCAATGCAACACATTTTTACAGATTTATTGAGAATCCAAATATAATTTCCATAAAATATAGCCAATACAAATTATTAGGAGGAAAAAGTCTGAATTCAAATTGACGTGAATAACTTACACTCTTACACGTGAATAGACATTGTATTACATTCAGTGGCGCGGACGCAAAAATTTCATCAAGAGTATTCAACTGTAGACCAAAATTTCCAAGGATTGTCACATAGTCTTGAATTCAAATGCTACAATCACTAAAATAAAATTTTACACAAGCTTTTACTCCAAAAAGTTTATTCAACCTTTGTCAATTGGCAAACCAAGCATCAGCCTGGGTCCGCCCCTAATTACATTAATAAGCACCAAATTGCGTGAATAAGCACAAAATACCTAAAAATTTTACCTTTTAAGTGTTTTGTCTCTAACAAGAGAACTTTTCATTGTTCAACTTCAATACCATAGGGCTACAAACATGATTAGTAATATGAATTGAAATAGGAAGATTTATAGTATGGCGTCTTGATTAATAAAAAGTAAGAAGTAAGAACTCATCTGTGGTTCGGTGAGTTTTATTCGTGGATGAGATGCAGTTGATATTGAAACTCAGTTCGTGAACAATATTTATTCAAATGTCATGCACGGGCGGAACTAGAGTAAGTCTCGGGCGCCCGATTATCTAAAATATCGAAAGTTACTTGTAAACTCTATAAGCTTTCTTGAAAATTTAGAATTAAATTAAGGATTAAATGCAATATATTAGTCACAACTATTAATAAACGAGAAATTATAGTCAGTTAGCCACAACGATGAAAATACAAATTATTAGACATTCGTTAGTTGTCCGTTAATGCTCCGTTAGTAAGTCTGTCTGCAATGTTGACCTTGCCTAAAAAAACTGACACATAATATTTTTTTATAATTTACAATTAAATTAATTTAAAAATATAAAAAAAGGAAATTAAAAAAACTAATACATGCTTCTCCGATAAGACTATCCATAACGTGGGTGGAAAAGGGGGGAAATACCCACAACGTGAGTGTGGGTAAAGTGGGAAAAATGAGAGGAAAAGAAAAAGTAGGGGGAATATCCACTAGTAGCAAATAAATGAGGGATGCAAGGGAGGGGGGAGGGAGCTCACTATCGGGCCCGCACATATCTTCTTTTTTATTTTTTGTTCTAATTTTTTTGTTTTAATGGTTTTTTATTGTGAGGTGTTTTGATTGGTTTTATCCCCAACGAACAGAATCAATGACATTATATTTAATTAGTGATAAAAAAATTATGTCCAAATTAAAAAAAATATATCAAAATGTTTGTATTAATTAATTATCACTAACTACGTAAAAATAATGATCATTATATAAAATAAAGTGATGAAATCAACTATAGATTGATTTTAATAAAAAAATGTTAAACCAATTGACCACTTTTCCCACCCCTACATTGTGATCAAAACCTCTCTCCCTTCTTTTCCCCTTTTTCCCACCTTTCCATCCCAATCACATTGTGGATGGTCTAACTATATATTGAATCGACGAGGCGGCGACCGTGGAGGATCGCACGGTGAGGATGCGAAAGGAAGTGATTGTCGAGGGGTTCTTACTAGGTTGGCCCCTACTCTCTCTCTTTCACTGCATTCGTCGCCAAGAACAAAGGCACGCCAACTCCAATAACGTACAGCCACGATCGCTAAGCTCTGATTTTCTACACCAACCCCCAATCAAACATCCAATAACATTCAACATGGGTAGCGAATGGCATGAAGTAAGTCTCTCTCTAAATTCAAATTTCCTCTCCCTTCTCTCTAGAACTCCAAAAGTCTCATTTGGGGGCTGCCGCCGGCATCCTTTGAGGACCGGCGGTGGCCCAAGTTTCCATCTTTCTGCTTTCCTCCTCTTTTTCCTTTGCCCCGTCCTTTGCTTTTCCCTGTTTTCCATCTACTTTTGCGGCCCTTGTTGGCTTTTTCTCTGCCGTGATGGCGTTTCCTTGTTCCCTAAGTGGATCAATCCACAAACCTCTCTATATGAGATGGTTCGTTCTTGTTCCGATCTGATGTAATCAGATCTTCGCAAGCTCTTCTGGGTCCGGATGATGCAACTTCGAAGATAATCCATTTCCGTCAATGTTTTGGTGGCGTGGTTACTCCAAGTTGGTGCGTTTATCGTTTTAACGATGATTTCATTCTCTGCTATCCTCTCGTCGTCCTCTGGGTTCGTCGTTGGTGGAAGGCAAAGTCTTGTCCGGCGGCTGCAGCAGCTCTCCTTTGTTCTTTTGAGGTAAGGGTTTCCGTTAGGGTTGAGGGTGGGCTGGTGTTGGTGTTTGTGGGCTCGAGTTTACAAACGTGTCTTGTTTTTTTTTTTTGGGCTGAGTTTTGTCTTTCTGTTCATGTTGTGTTTCTTGGGTGGGCTTCTCTTTTGGTGGTGTTTTGCTTGGGGGTTCACGTTGGTTTGGTGGGGTTCTGTTGGGTTTGGCTTGCAAGTTTGGTTGTTTTTGTTTTTTGTTTTGTTTTTTGTTTTGTTTTTTTTTATTTTTTTATTTTTTTATTTTTGTGGTTTTATGGTGGCCTTTCCTCCTTCTCTTGGGTTTTCCTTTCCTCTTTGGACCAGGATGCTGTCTCCGGTTTTCCCTTGGTCTCTGTCATCTCCGAGCAGTCCGGTTCATCCATGTCCACCGCCATGTAATTTCAGATTGAGATTCACTGTGATGAGTCATCTTCGAATGATTCTCAGGAGGCGGCTTATGGTTTGCTTTGCTCATTACCATGGTCCTGTTTGCATCGGATGAGCTGACTCTGGCTTTGTTGCTTCCTCAATAGTGGTGGTTGCGTGAGGGTGTTTGGATGCATTTGTTTGTCTGTGGCAATGGCTCCCACTCGCCGGTTTTTCTTCTGCTTCTCTGCTCGTTCATGTTGTATTTTTCCGGTTGGAATGACCCTTTGGTTGATTGGGTGTTTTGCCCCTCTGTGTATCAAGTACCCTCTGTAATCACTATGTTGAATGCAATATAAGCGGCATTCTTGTCAAAAAAAAAAAAACATTCAATCCCAGAGTCGCGGCTGTCCTCTTATTCCGACACAACTTGGCAATCTCGGAGTTGCGGCCCTCTGCTGCGCCGGAAGTTTCAATATCGGGTTGCTTTTAGATCCAATCTGTCGCTATCTCGACCCTTAGAAAATGGAATTGCTCCCGAGGAAGTTTGGCTTTTGGGGAGTGGTAGTTGTGTCTGTGAGGATTATATGAGTTTTAACCTTTAGGTTTTATTGGGTTTGTGGAGTAGTATTTCACGGAGGATTAGGAGAGTTGTTTATTTTATTATGGATTGGGAGCCCGATGGTTCTGGTTTGTGTTGAAGAAGGAGAAGGCGATGCAGCCGTAGAGAAGCTTATTCCAAGCATCTGGAATACGTGGAACAGCCTGGTTTGCCGATGGAGGGAGTACCACGGCGGCGACGACTGGAAGGGGATGCTCGACTCCCTCGACGAGAATCTTCGGCGGGAGGTGGTCACGAATTTTAATTTTAATTTTTTATAATTAAAAATAAAAATTATATATATAATGATTTGCTTATGTGGACGCCAAATGACCAAAAAGGTGAAATTTTTATCTAATAAAAAGAGAAAAGTTAGGTAAAAGAGAAAAATTAAAGGACTAAAATAAAAGTATTAAATATAATTTTGAGTAATATCATTTGAATATTTCACTTAATCAATAAGAAAAAAAATGTGGTTTTACTTTTAGTTGAAAATATGAGAAAACTGATAACACCTAAATCAGTGACCCTTCAAATTTATGTTTGTTTCGTGCTAATTCGTGTGCATAATAGGAAGAATATCATTGATTGCATCCCTATTTCGTTTCTATTTGATTATGTCGTTATTTTAGGGTGTTTAGACGATACATGTGAATTAGGTATGAAAAAGGTGCACAAGTGTAGAAAATGGGCAAAAACGGAGATCATGGCCGAAGGAGCCAAGATCTCAGCCTTACGTGCCAAGATCCCTGCCATGAAGAGAGGGCATAAACCAGAGCACAAGATCGCAGCCTGTAGTGCAAAGATCCCGGACGCGATTTTCAGCCTCTTGCCCATGAACTTGAACTGAAGATCTCAGCCTCAAGTTCATGGTCACGAACTTTGGAGGCAAGGGTGTGAACTTCAGAAGAGGCCAGCTCGGAAGAAGCATAAAATTTTAGTCATTATTTTACGATCCACAACTTTCGTGCCCGCGATAGCGATCACGACTGTGAGACTCAATTTTATTCAGTGGGCTCCTTTTGGGCTCTAGTTGAGACTTCCCAAGGCTTCCCCTCCATTAATCTTCATCTTATGGGTGAAATACCCCTTAATCTTCCCAATTCTACTCCTTTAATCCCCCATAAATCTTCCAAGTTTCGATCCAAAATATTATAGATGGTGTTTTACCTTGAAAAGTACATAAATATAAAGAAAATGCATACAAGAATCTCAAAGTACAATCTAGCTATGATAAAACCTCATTGATCGAATAGCTATGATATTTATAGGAAATTAGGAAAAAATCTCTAAAGATGCATTGATAGAAGGGGAAAATATATCAAATATGAGGGTGATAAACACTATAAATGGAGTGTTATAATACTATGTGGTTGTTGGGAGACATAGATGGAAGGGGAAATATTATTTTGATTTTCATTTAATTTAGATTATTTTTATAAAATAATTAAGTTTTACTTAAAAATTATGATGGTGTGCCATCTATGTGGATGCTACGTTTTTTTCCAGGTCAACAAAAGTCAACATCTTCTTGACTATCATATGGTCACCCATTATCTCAAGTGAGTTACTAATTAACGCTCTAAAATTAAAAAATCAACGCCCTAAAATGAACTTAAATTACAAATTTGACCCCAATCCCTAAACGTTTCCATCGCCCTGATTTCCTGGCCCCTTGTTCTGCTGCTCTTGATCAGCTCCGCCCGTCACCGCCGCCGCCTCTGCTGCTGCGTTGCTCAAGTACAGAGAAGAAAGGAAAGGATCTTGCCGGCCACGCGAAACCGCCCTGGCCGAGCTGAAGACCGACAAGAGACGAGTTTTGTTGAACAACATCTCCAGGACGTCGATGTCCTATCCTCACATCAACTAGATAGTTGCGGTGCTGAAATTTGTTCATCGGGATTGGTTGCCGGCGGCGATCAAATCAACGATGATGACCACTGCCTACGACATGGACAACACGGCGACGGCCTCTGCGTTCTGATTGAGAGCGCTGCGTGCAGCCACCGGGTAAAGGTTCCTTCGCGGTGAATTTCGAAGGGGGCCGTGCCGGCGAGAATGAGACGGTGAGGTGGTTTTAAAGTTTGGGAGCTTGGGGGAGAAATTGATCGTTGTCGCGGCCGGAGGTGGCAGAGCAGAGTTCGGCGGCGACGGGCGTAGTAGTAATGACCAGGGCGAAAGATTTGTTACAATTTTTTAGGGGTTAGGAATCTGTTCGTTGTAAAATGGTTTGCTTGAGTAAGTTTATAGCGAAAATTTTAAAAAGTTAGGGCGTTAAATAGAAGTTCAGTATCTCTAACGGTCAACAAAAGCGCCAGTATATCGCAAAAGTCTCATGAGTCATGTTAGGATTGTCATATCGAATAATTAAGGGCAGAAATGACATTTTTAATATAGTTGGAGTGTTTTGGTAGAATTAGCGCTGCTACTTAAAATAGAATTGAGGATAATTAACGTGTTTAGTTGTAAAATAAGTTCAAATAAAAAGCAGCGAGGCAGATAAATTCTGTACTTGTCACAAAAGATAAAATAATTTTTTTTGGGTGACACACAAAAGATAAATATTGACAATGCCTTAGTAATTTTTTTTTATTTGTTATTAATTAGAAGTTTGACTTTGTATCACCTTGCCTTGAAGAACCGAACTTATATTCATAGAATAAGTAGATGAGAATTGGTAGGTTGAGGAGGCGAAAGAGTCTTGGTATTGTTCAACTAAACGATCGGGTTCGTTAGTGGAGTTGGAAATAACGAATCCTAATACATTGCTACTCTATTGAAATTTCGTGAAAATAGTCAAAATCCCTCCTTGCAAGTGACCAACTTTTCATTTCTAGGTTTCTGTAGCTCTATAGCCCACGAAAGACACAAAAGAAGCAAAAACAGAGAGGAAGTCTTTCGCGGGCATTGAAAGATCTCGCGACACTCAGGCCAATAGCTTACTCCACCAGAAAGCTGGAAATGGAAACAGGAACCCGCAAAATAGTTATTCTTTTCCCTTTCAAGTAACGTTTGAATTTCAGAAAGCAAAGAAAGCGGTGGCGGAGCTAGGGAGCGGCGGATCCAATAATTAGATTAACGGTATTCAACGATAAAATAAAATTATTTACGATTGTCAAATAATCTCGAGTTCAAATACTACTATCACTAAGCATTTTATTCTAAAATTGGATTAAGATTTGTCAATTGACAAAACCTATCATCAATTTAGGTTCGGCCCAATAGACTCACAAACAAATTCGAAATCCTTCAAGTGTTTGTTGTTAGTGTCTTGTGATCCGAGTTTGAGCTCAAGGTTGAACTAAAATCATATTCTATTAGTTGAACTCAATTTTTGCTCGTTAGCTTCGTTTGGCGAGCCGAGCTCGAGCTTTCCTGTTAAAGCTCATATCAAACTCTAACTGAAATCGAGCTTGAAAGTATTTTAACGAGTCGAGCTCGAACCATGGGCAAACCTCAGCTCGGATCATTAACAACCCTAGCCACAAATAATTTGTCTGGATGACTTTTAATTGGATTGTATTGTGGTTACGATCTAGGATATGGGGAATAAGGTCTTTAAGGTAGTGGAAAAATTCATTTCTCAAGATTCCACATATTCCAAACCGATTCCTCATCAATCACAACTTTCTTTACTTTTCTACTTTGATACACGTTTTGAACAAGAGAAAGGAACGAAAAATATTCAAATAATAAGAGTTCACTTAGCCATTGGGTATGAAAATTACTCCTTGTGAAGTCCATAAAACTTGTTGCTTTCCGCCTCTAAACACAGATCGAAAATAGGGTTAAGGAAAGAGCTACGAACTACTCTCCTCTTGGTACTCTTTTCTTAAATGGTGGTGATCTAGATCTTGAGGCATCATACGTATCAATTTGATAAACATGACCTTGGACTTTTCTTTTCTAGCCTATGGATTTTACTCCTGGTTCGTGTTGGGCTCATGCATAAAAGCTGTCTTACATAAAACTATTGAGAGACAAACTTCTGTCAAATGAGGGCTAGAATCACCAAATATTAGGTAAACTAGAATGAACCCGCGCTATGCTACGGATGCTAAGAGACGGTGAATTATTGGTTGTTGACACAATAATACTAAATATAATTGTTTCAATAAGCTCGTGCTTAGCTAATTTATTTACTTTCTTCGGATTTTTTGGCATGATTTTTAATCATTATAATTTTTTATTTTTTAGTTTTAGCATTTCAACCATACTATTTTAGAAAGGCATGTTAGTAAAAAAAAAATATGTTTGATACATGAATTGTCGTATGTTGAGATGTTTTCGTTTGATAGACGCTTCATGTTAGGGATGCCAATTTTGATTTGATCTGTTGTACCCGACTTGTTTTGGACTGGGCGGGCATGAGTAGGATCCTCAACATGACCTGTCTTGACTCGGCCCATTTTTTACCCATTTCTTGCTTAAATCCCATGTAATATTACTCAAATTAATTATTCTTTTACTTTTATGACATAATATTTTATTTATAATAAAGTTGTAAATAGATGAGAAGCTCAGTTTCACGAATAACTTAAAAACATTAATCATGTATTACTTTGTTTTTTTTTGTGTATGAAAAATGAATATTTTCACAATTTTGTGTTGAAATTACATACTCATAGATCGACCTTCGCCCCGTAATAAATTACCCAAACTACCACAAAGCGTGTATTGGTATCGAGATACTCGTACCGACCTACCACATTGTCATTCCTACTTCACGTACATATTAAAAATATGTCCACCCGTGCATTACTACAGGGTTGAGATTAACAGTTTTTTCCAACTAATTAATTATGTTCTCAATGAGAATAAAAGAATTTCGACAAAAATAGGAACATAAAAACGAATATTTTTTTTGACAATAAAAACGAATAGATGATAATCATTTTCACCACAATTTGATTTATGAAGAAGCTGGAGAAATGGTTTTTCATCATGTCATCCATGGAGAAATTGTGTGAAAGCTTAACAGCTTCCACTTCTCACTTAGCCACATGTCAATAAATAGTTGGTTTGTCATAGAAAAATAAGACAGTCATGCAGCCTAATAAAAACTTAGGCAAAGTAAACTGTCTTTTACTTTATATATATTTATGACATAATATTTTATTTATAATAAAGTTGCATATAGATGAGAAGTTCAATTTCACGAATAACTTAAAAACATTAATCATGTTTTACTTTGTTTTTTTTATGAAAAATGAATATTTTCACAATTTTGTGTTGAAATTACATACTCATATAGATCGACCTTCGTCCCGTAATAAATTACCCAAACTACCACAAAGCGTGTATGGGTATCGAGATACTCGTACCGACCTACCACATTGTCATTCCTACTTCACGTACATATTAAAAATATGTCCACTCGTGCATTACTACGGGGTTGAGATTAACAGTTTTTTCCAACTAATTAATTATGTTCCCAATGAGAATAAAAAAATTTCGACAAAAATAGGGGGAAAAAAACGAACAGATGATAATCATTTTCACCCCGATTTGATTTATGAAGAAGCTGGAGAAATGGTTTTTCATCATGTCATCTATGGAGAAATTGCGTGAAAGCTTAACAGCCTCCACTAGTCCACTCTTCTCACTTGGCCACATGTCAATAAATAGTTGGTTTGTCATAGGAAAAAATCAAACAGGTATGCAGAGTAATAAAAACTGAGCTTAGACTCACTACAACTTGTAAATAAAAGAACAAGAAATGAAGAATAAAAACTAGAGCACTTATACTATGTATATAGTATTGGTGCTTTAATGTATAACTCAAAGTTATACCGTAACATAAAATGTATAAATTTAGGTTGTACCATAAAACAATTTGTATCATTATGTTATGGTACAACTTTACAATTTGAAGTTGTACCATCACATAAAGGTACAAGTTCAAGTAAGGTACAACTTCAAGTTGTACCATAAAAGAATTTGCACAAAAAGTATAGGTACAATTTAAAGTTGTACCATAACGTAAATGTACAATTTTAAATTGTACCATAAAAGCAAAAACCTATAGCACCAATATTATATAGCATTGTAAAATTTCTTTAAAAACTAACGAGAAACAAAAATAAAGGTAAATAGACTCAAAGACACTACTTCACACACACAAAAATAAAGCCATGACTCTATGGACTCAAATAAACAAAACAAAGCAAATAATCTACAAGGAAAATCAAGAACAAAATCTCCACTCCCTTTTAATAAGGAATTGAAAGTCGCAAGCCATGGCGTCAAAATTTTATTTGTTATAAAATACGGGGAACTACTTGGTAGGTAACCATGATCGTATTCCCTCAAGACCTTTAGAATATCGTTACTCAGAAAGTGAGGACTTTGTTCTTGGATTCGAAAACACGTTTTGGGATTGAGGTGCATCTTAAATTGCTTTGTAAATGAAAATTGAAGAAAATGAAATAAAAATAAAAATTGGATGTGGGAGAACAATAAAAAAAGGCGTCGCAAAGGCAAGCTCACACTAGTGCTTCCTTATACATGCTTTAGAATGATAGGCGACATATATATATGTGACTGAGGGAATTCACATGGATTCCTCCTCTCACCACGCTTCTCGCCCTACTATCTACCAATGGTCCCTCCATTGGAGATGGACTAGGGAGACACGTGAGTCAGCCAATCTAGTTATGTTTTATCCTAAATATGTTGGGTACCAAACCGTGTATTGCATTTGGTGTGCCTCAATCACATGTGTTTCCTTGTTACAATCCACCCACATGAACGCATATAAGAACATAAACCAATGCAATAAATATAGAGAGGTGAAAATCAAACAATCCATATATATGATCAAGAATCAATTATTACACTATCTTAGGAATCTCTTGGGTTCTCCAACCTATACAACTAACAAACTAGCCACTCATGGGGACATAATCTAGGAGATACATCGGTCGAAAAGACGAGAAACTTAGCTTCTATGAAATGGCAGCCTAATAAGGGAAACAACTCCTAATGTGACATTCTGGCCACCATTTTATCCTCAAAATACTGATTGCTTCTAGTTTGTGGTGGTTTGATATGGAGGCATAATGATCTCATGTAAAGACTTTTCTTCAAATGATGGCCACGGGGTCTATCTATAGGTCTTTATATTAGTTTTGTGACATATCTTCTAGGAGAGATATCTTATCATAATGAGTCAAATTGAACCTTCTCGAAAATTATGTCTAATCACTTGAGATCCCCCACTATTTCCTAAGCCCAAATTGTAAAATGAGTTGAATTTTGGCTTTTGGTCGACAATTTGGGCCAATATCTTGGGCATCGACATCTCACTCCATTTATGACTCCCATCACGCTTGTTCTGATGTCTCCAGCTCGTACATGGTGTCCTGCTAGGATGCAATGGCATGAAAAAGCATGAAATACTACCCAAAAGGTATCAAAACTATAAAAACACCTCTAGAGGCTACTAAACACATCTTTGAGAAATTAGCATGTAAATCCAAGTCAATATGGCAAAATAAATGTATAAATTGTGAAACATATGCCATGAAATGAGACAATTACCATGTAAATCCAAGTTAATATTTGACACTCGATTATGTTCACCTTATATGCCAAATCCATGTCCCTTTGGTGGTAGTGGAATACAAATGTATTTGGACTACTACTCCTTGGGGAAATACAAAGTTAAAACTATATATCTATGCATTAGGCAGCTTAGCAATACATCATTGTTTTGCAATACTTCTCCATATGATAGATAATTTTTGGAAAGGCACAAGGTCAAACACACTCTAGGATGATTTGGATCAACCTGGAAGATCAAAGGGGTAATTACTAGAAGATCAAGGATGATATCCATCAAACGAAGCCCACCGGAGGCAAAGTCTCCATGAAGTCATCATATAGGTCCAAGAGGAGTCTATTTGATACAACCCTAAATTGCTTCCTTACCAAGCTAGAGTTACTTGCCCGAGAGGCTAACCCAACTCATTTGAACAATCTTAGTTTTTGGCCAAGTATAGTGACGTGTTCAGGCAGCCTACTTTGGAGCTTTGGTCCTTCCAATTGGGTTGATGGAAATGAAAGGTTAGTGTGTTGTTTTGAACATAAAAACTTCCTCTACAAGATGGCAGGAGATTCGGGTTCATATGAAGTCGTTAAAGCTGCGTTCCAAGGCCTCAAAGTAGCGGTCTCAAAACTAGCAGACTGCCAGAATTTGGCTAAGTCTGGAGGCATGGTCAGGAAGGTCACTTTGGAGGTCCATTCAGGGAAGAGGGGTTCGAATCATGGAAGGAGCTTTGTACCACATGAAAGTGCGTTTGATTGTCTACAGAAGCAAGGTATTGGCTAAGGAGATGGAGACCTGGAGAGATGTGAACGTAGGGGTCAAAGTTGCTATGGACACTGTTTTGGAGGCAGCTTGCGTAAGCTACAAGTTGGGTATTATGGACGAGTTGGGATTCCTTTTCTGTTTTGGTTTGTTACCTTTAGACGTTGTAGGATTAATTAGCTTTCCTTGTTTGTTTTGTACTCGAATTAGGTTTTAGTTTGCTTATTTAAAGACCTAGAAACTCCATTGTAATAGTTAGACGTTAATCAATTCAGAACTTGTTCATTGAGTTTTCAACTCGTGGATTGTCCTTGTTGCTTGGTTCAAATCGCCAACGACGAGCGAGCCTTGTATCGATTGAGTCATCACCTCAATCGTGGTCGGGTTGCTACCTTGAATTCGGTTGAGCCTCTTCCCCGCGTGTGGTGTTGAAGTTGCACTCCGAACCATCCTTCTATTCCTCTGTTACTCTGTTTTATGGCTTAGAAATCTGATTTCCAAGCTGTGTTCAAAAAGCCTCGCGGATTGGGGTTTATCACTATTGGAGAAATTTCATCTAAAGCCTACAAAGAAACCCACAACATGTGTCTCTGATGACGCTCAAATTATGGTGCTTATCATTCCATTTTTGATACATTTTCCTTCTATCAATGCATCTTTAATACATTTTGCTTTGTTTTAAGTGAAAATCAAAACTATTTTATCAATTTGCTTATAATAGACATAGGTTGTGTTTTAGTATGATTTAATGCCTTTTTGGTGTTATTTTGTGCTTTTCAAGGTCCAACACACTTTAGGATGATTGGATCCACAATTGGATCAAGTTCGAGGATCAAAAGGGGTAATTGCTAGAAGATCAAGGATGGTTTGTCCATAAAATGAAGCCCAGCGGAGGGGAGTCGCCATGAAGTCGTCATATAAGTCCAAGAGGAGGATATTTTATAAATTTCATCTCAACCCTGCAAAGAAACCCACGGTGGCCTTATGATGGTGTCAACCATTGCCGGGCCAAACCCAACAAGTTACGACCAAAATTCCCCACAAGGATGGTTTGTCCATAAAATGATTGGATCCACACTTTGAGATGATTGGATCCACAATTGGATTAAGTTCGAGGATCAATTGGGGCGATTGCTAGAAGATCAAGGATGGTTTGTCCAAAAAATGAAGCCCAACAAAGGGAAAGTCGCCATGAAGTCGTCATATAAGTCCAAGAGGAGGATATTTGATAAATTTCATCTCGGCCCTTCAAAGAAACCCACGGTGGCCTTGTGATGGTGTCAACCATTGCTGGGCCAAACCCAACAAGTTACGACCAAAATTCCCCACAAACATCCCAAAGCAAGAAGAAAACTAGCGATGCCCCAAATGTCATTTGATCGCCACATGCCTAAAGCACATAGATGCTTCTAGAATCCTCTTACTTAGTCCAAGTGGTAAAAGGATGCTGGAGGCCAAGTTTAAGTAGGAAAACTCCAAGAATACCCCTTTTCTTTTACTATAAATAGGAGATTAAGCTTTAGCTTTTACTCACTCTTACATATACAAAAGCAGCTAAAGTTCTGTCGGAGCAAGACAGGGATGTCTACATCATCATTGGTGATGTCATCTCCATCTCTTATAGCTAACTAAGCATATATTGTTTAGCGATGTGAGTTCTATGATGCAGACATCTGCTTTATATTATTTAAGGAGATGTTTTGGTCATTAGATTCCTCTATCATTCGATGCTTGTACCATCTTATGCTTTATTTATCTATTGCTTTAAACATTCTATGCTTTTATCGTCTACTATGTATTACTATGGTCTTGCTTATAATACTATTACATGTTGTTGGGAAACTCTTCATATGTGGTATGCAACTATTTTAAGAGTGCATGAAGGGAGATGTACATTACATCATCAATGTCATTGACACTTTCTTTGGCTCTTAGAAGCCCTAAATAACAATGTGATAATTCCTTGTTTGATCGATTAGTCTAATGGCATGAAGAGAAGGCATGCATTAGCTAGTTGTAGTTTCTCTCGCATGTGGCAAAAGCTCAGATTGGAATGCATTAGTGGAAGGGATAGGGCATCATATTAGATCTATACATAGGTTCATCTTGTTAATGAAATTAAATGCATGTTAATCTAGATGAAACTACCTAAACAATAATATTTGTTACGTGTTTCTTGTTAGTTTAATTAGAATAAAATCTCGATCAAACCATAAGGAACATCACTCCATCGTATTTACCTTTTGGTTATCTCGTTACTTGAATACATACCTTTAGTTTCAAAGTAGTTACTATCAAATAGGGGTGTGCAACGGTCCAGTCCGAACTGAACCAAACTCAGGAGAATCGTGGTCCAATAGTAAGAGACTTCTATGGACCAAGGACACGACTAAAAGTGTATTCGGTTCGTTGATCTTGTCCAAATGTCACTTTGGTCTATTTTTCTTTAGTATTTATTAAATTCATTGGACCAAGGACCGGACCATATTATACTCAGTTCGGTGATGTTTTGTACGTACCAAACCATTGCATGCCCCTGCTATCAAAGACCCATGGAATATGAGTTCATTGACCCGTTTACCATCCAAAAGCGGCCTTATCGATATTGGCGTACCATGGTGGTATTCTATGTGCCATTCATTGTGCAATATGCCATTATATCAAAGAAACATTATAAAGTTTATTTTTACACTACGATTGTCATGTGGCTTACGGGACTTAGGCATGATGGATTATTGTTGAACTCCCTCTCTAATTTTATTTTTTCTCTTTGGTAGCTTCACTTGATTTCTTTTGGATACTCCGAATATGATCAATTGGAGGCCGTTTGTCTTCTTTGGCCTCTATGGAAGTTTCGCAACGAAGTTATGTTTAGACATGTCCAACCTACATTTCCCATCCTTGCACACCAATCTTCCATTGAGGTACATCAAAATCTCGCTGCATACTTAAACCGACAACCAATTAGGGCACTTCATCGTCTCATCCTCCTCATTCCTTTGCTCATATGTGGTGTCCAATGCCTTTGGGGTATTGTGAAGCTCAAATTTTTTTTTTTTTGAGAAACTTGTGAAGCTCAGTTTAGTGGGTCTCTAAGACAATTTAGCTTCGTGCCTACAGATTGTGTCGTCTTGGACAACTCTAATGCCCTTCTCTATGTCTTCACTAGTAAGTGTGATAATATCCGGAATCCTTATATGGCTGAATAACTTGTAGTTAGTGACACGATTCAACAATGTGTGCAGTTCGCTGTCACTTGAAAGGTCATTGAAGGAGACTCGTAGGTGATTATACAACAACTCTAGCGACATGATTTGGACCATCGTTTGTGTGGAAGCATACTTCGTGAGATTGAGTCTAAGCTTTCGACTTTAAATTCTCAAATCTCAATTCCTTTGTACTTTGGCCTGTAAATAGGATTGTCTATTTTGTGATGAAAAAGGTCTTGCAACAATTTTCCATTTGTTACCTTTATTTTTGTGTTTGAAAATTGCAACAACTATAATAAATGAGTGGAGTTTGCTACAGTGACTTACCAGCCATCATCAATTAGAGAAAATGGTCTACCACTTCCATCAAGCGGTCAAACGGATGAACCATTGTTAGTGAAACAAATATATTTATTCAGAGACATCTAATATAATAGATATGCTTGCTAGTAAGAGAGTTGGAGTTAGTACAAAGGTTGAAGCATAGATGAGAAGTTTATCGGAGGATTGTTCTCCCATAGATTTGGAAAAATGCTACACATATTTATTTCTTAGATTTGACTTATTCTAGAGTGGTTTTCATCTTTCCTTGAAATTCTAAGTTTGCTTGCTTTTAATTCTATAATTATCTTATGATGGAAGAGCTTTCTTGCTATTGTTGTTATGAAAATACTTAAAAAGTAAGTATAATGTCTTATAATTGTGTCATCTTCAACGTCCATAAATATCATATCATCTTGCTTTTATGCGTTATTATTCCAGAAGTGTTAAAAGATAGTGTTATTTCTTATTGTCTAGGCCTATAATCTTCGTAGTGATTTGGTTGCCCACTGTGATAGGATGATGCATCACTACAAAACCGTTCGTATTGTCCATTATCTTCTTAATGTAAGTAAAAGGTAACTGTGTCATTTTGGTCGATCGTTCGTTGGAAGCGATAGAGCGTTTGTCGGAAACAGTAGAGTGTTTTATCGGTTCGAAATAGCAGTGGTAAGTTAAAGGTTTTGTTTTATTCGGTCGACCGTTTGTCAAAAGTGGCCGAACTGTTGCTCGAAAGCATTATACCGATTTCCTGAAGCGGTCTACCACTTTTATGAAAGCGGGAGACCATTTACCTGAAGCAATTGACCGGTTACCTGAAACGATCTGCCCATTACCAGAAATTATTGACAATTTTTTCCAAACAACGGTAACTTGTCAAGTCACTATAAGAATACCCTAAATGATTTTCTTCGTATCAATAAAAATAACTCTATCGTTTGAGGAAAAGAAAAGGAATTATTAATATATCTCTCTTGGACATATATTGCTTATTAGACTTAAATATATGATTAGGCACATCCATTCCTGCGGTTAGGAGAACAACCGAGAATTTTGTTACAGAGCTGAAAGTTTGGTCCAAGACAATCGTCAACCCACGGGCCACGACATTGTCCTCCTTTCCTTTCCGGCTTTCGCCTTCTTCATTTTTCTACTATTATTATTATAACGCACGGTTAAATAAGAAAGCTAAAGAAAAGGGGAAAACAGAGGAGGAAGAAGAAGAAGAAGAAGAAGAGTGCAACCACGTGTACACACACTCAATTGACCAGATTAGTAATTACCACTCCAATTGCATAATTGGCAGGGAAATAGAAAAGTATCGTCGCCTAACAAATTCTGAAATTCAGGGTATTTGAAGAAGAAGAAGAAGAGGAGGAGGAAGTTGTATAATGGTGGTTCGGTTGGGGGGTTTTCCTATAAAAACCTGAAAAGGAGGCTCATTCCTGTGGCATTATCCTCCCTCTCTTCCCCTTCTTGGTCAGTTTTCGCAACTCCATTAGCAAACTTAACAGGGCATTAGACAGAAAAGAAAAAGCAGCCCATTCAATAGCTTTATCTCTCTCTCTCTCTCTCTCTCTCCCCCCTGCCTCTGGGTTTGCTCTGTTTTTCCACCTGCTTTTTGGCTAGCTTTCTTCTTCTCCTTCCATCTTTTTTTTTTTTTTGCTTTCTCGGCAAACAACAAACAGGAGTCAGCTTTCTAGCTCGTCCTGGTGGGTTACATTGAGTTGTAAGCAAGGTATGTCTCCACTAAATTTCACAAACCAAAACAACCCTCTGATTACTTCCTTCCTCCAAAACTCCTCGACGCTTGTTGCCATTGTGGCCGGTACTCTGTTTCTCATATAGGCCAATCGCGCGTCTCAATTTTGGGATTTCGTGTAGGCATTTCCATTTTTTTGGGCGGGAGGAATGGAGAAGAGGGCGGGAAGACAATATTGTTGCTCTACGTGGCGGCGGCGGCAGAACCTGCCCATCCTCTTCCTCTTCTTCCTTGTCTTCTCCGGTGCTGCTTCCGCCGCCGGGAATGGGAAGACTCATGCCAGGTGATTTCTCTTGTCTATCTGTGTTGATGATCTTTTGTGTTGTGGAAAAAATGCTTGTTTTGATCTTAGTATCTAGTGCTTTTTTTTCTTCTTTCTTCTTTTTGCTTAAATCTTTGCAAATTGAAGACTTTGAAGCTCTTGGTGGGGGTTTTTTTTTTTTTGTTTCGATTTTCGTCTGCACATATATTCAGGGGGGGAAGGACTGTACTACCAGAGTCCATTCACATGTCACGTTACTGTAGCAAGTGAGCAATCCATCAAATGCAGAATCAAAACCTTTCATAAACAAGAAACACTAGTTGGTTCGTTTCGGTTCAGTTCGGTTCGTTTGAGACCTGATCCGGGTCTTCGTCATCCTAACTCATTCATTCACTACAGTTTACGATTTTAAAGCTTACATTATGTGAAACAAGGAACTGAACAGACAAACAGAGTAGCTTCCGTTGCAGTTCGGGAGAGAATATGGGCCCATGAATTTCACGGGATGAATAATAATTCGTTGTGAATTAATTAATTAATTTTTTTATCATCTTAAATGGAGCTTTCAGTTGAATTAAATAATAAAGCAAATTTATTGGAATCCATACTCCCTTTTTCTTTCCTTTTTGGGTTGTCCTTATGTGTAATTAGTCACCCTTCCAATTCCCATAATAATCCCCTAATTATGCACAGTTTTGTTTAGCGAGCAAACACATACCGAAAGTGAAAAGCCCAGGAAATAGAATAAAGAGAAGGGCGCCTCCCAATTCCGATAGATTCCTGCGACCACTTTTTCCCTCTTCCACAACCACAAACCATCTTTTTAACCTTTTCCCGGGCGGTGGTGGTGGTGTAGGTGTAGTAGAGTGTGGTCGGGAACCCCAACTTTGTCTTTCTCCTTTTGTTTTCTTCCAACTGTCTGCAACTTTGTAAGTCGTACTCCTGTGGGCCACCAACAACCCAAGCAAGCAACCATTTCTAGTCAAGTCGAGCTCGAGCCGGATTATCAAAATTTGAGTTCAAGCCGTGCTCGAGCTGAAAATTTTATAAACGAGCCGAGCTCAAATTAAGCAAAAACTCGACTCGACTCGGCTCGTTTGCAGTCCTATGACCATGACACTTCTACTTCCATGTCCAATGTATCAACTTATATTATGAATCCATCCACTTGAACCCCTAGTTTTGAATGCATTATTTTGGTTTGTGATATTTTTAACTGAAATACTGTATTATTTTGGTATGTGGTATTTCATATTGGAATACGGTATGGAGTGAGTCAATTGAAATGTCTAGAAGAAGGATATATTTTAATTAACTCATTATGCATCATTTAATAATTGTTGCGATCCCCAAAATACCAAAATTCACTTTTTGTTTGTCAAACGAGTTTATCTCTTACCAAATAACTCAGAAATGTATCATTTCAGTCAAAATAACTCGTACAAAATTCTGCATCCAAACGTCCCGTTATATTAGCTCCCCCCGCCACCCTTGTATGCGCTAAAGGACAATGTTCCAAAATCCATCAACTTGCGTCGACGACACTCAACTCATATGCATGGATGGCTTCAAATTTGCTGATGATTCGTCATAATTTTTCAGTCACCACTACTCCTGTCCTGAGTTGGTATAATTGCATGTGCCCATTCGGAAACCTTTGCTTCTCATTCCCATTTTCTACTTCTGAATGACAGCTCCTTCTCATCTATTTTCTAGCTCAAACTTCACCCACCCATACCACCAGTAATTGGACTTTACTGCATGCCTAATTAATTCAACCCATACATACTCGAATTTATTATTTTTTTATAAGCCTGGAATTTATTATTATTAATAATATTATACACGTTGATGTAATTAATTTAATTCTTGTTTTATGCTTAATTATAGGAGAATTAATCCAGGAAGAAACAGCAGCAGGAGCAGTTCAGGTTTTGGGGTTCAGTTAGTTCGCAGAGGAGATCCGCGACGGGTGCGTATTATATTATTATGCATTCAATTTCTTTTTCCTGCATTTATTCTCTCTTCTGTTTATTATTTTTTTTTCTGTGGGGACTTTTCCTGCATTATTATTCGTCAAAGTAAACTGAAGAATATGATGCTGAAATGATGAAAGTTTTGCTTGCAGCCCTCTCCTTTATTCACTTTCAACCTAAAAAATTTGACGTTTGAGCAATTAGGTGAAAGATTTCCGACATAATAACTTGACCTCGGCCGGCTTAATTACCAGAAAGATTACTAATGAATTAAGGTACCGGGAACTAAGAAATTCCTTTCTACACACCAAAGAATTCATACATATTGGACGGTAAAAGGAACATTAATTCATGGATAATTATTATATACAACCCCATCACATTCTTATATAAAAGTTTTGGTTTAGAGTTTAATATGGATTAATTTTTTTTTTATTCTTTCAAACTTTAGGGGCAATTTCAATTAGCACATAAAATTTACATCCCTTCAATTGATGATCAATTCTCTATCACTACTTCAATTGTTGACCAATTCTTCACCTCCTGGCAGAGATCAACGACTTCACAGACGTCGGTTGATCACCCATGTTCGGATTACTTGTATTCTAGCGATATGTTTTTTATTTCCAAATTCTTTTCAATTCACAATTTTGTGAGTTTTTTAGACTATTCAATTAGAGACTGGTTATGGCACGTATTTCGATCACGTGAATTTTATCTATGAGTTTTTTATTTTCGAATTTTTATTACTTGACAATCTTTGTAATTTTTTCGACTATTCAACTAGAGGATCGTTGATCACGCATATTTTTTGACACATATTCCGGTGTTACGTTTTGCATTTCCGAGTCCTTGTCGACCGACCGTTTTTATGGTTTTTCGAAGCATTCAAATAAATATTTTGTTTTTGCATAGAGTCCAATAATGCGATACGAGACTTCATTCCTCATCGAGTCCAATTTACTCTCATAACTTAGAAGTACAATATTTAAATATGAGTTTGACTTAATAGTTGCAATATGGTCCTATATGTGAATGAACGTACTCTTTCTTGAACTAATCTCAAGTTATATTACTTCATTTGTTCACACAATTGAAACATTAATCATCGTGAGTTTCTTTCTTTTTTTAAAACATATTACTTCTCTTTAGAAACGAACAAAAATATTAATAAAAACAAGAATGGAACACAGGCTTTCGACCTAATTTCAAAACAATAGCTCAAACACTTCACCATCCCGAAATCACAATCAACACCACTTATAAAAGAAATGCTACATCTTTTTTGTTGTGAAAACAGGTAACAATCGATAATGGGATAGTTTCAGTAACATTTTCCAGTCCAGACGGCGACGTGATTGGGATCAAATACAAAGGCATTGATAATGTCCTCGAAACCCTTAATGACGACGATAATCGAGGGTAATCTTCTTCAACTTCTAGTTTCCCAGCCTCTCTCTCTCTCTTGCAATTTCCTTCTGGTGTTTGGTACATTTTTTTGTAAGCCTGGGAGTCGTGCAGGTACTGGGATGTCGTGTGGAACAAGCCTGGAGATCAGCGTGGTCCATTTGACAAGTAAGTAGACACAAGTTCATCCCCAACCCAACAGATTGTTTTGGTGGGATGAAAACGTGCTCTAACTATATATATATGCGGGGTAATCAGATTGCGGGCCACAGATTTCAGGGTTGTAATGCAAGATGATGAGCAGATTGAAGTCTCATTCACCAAGAAATGGGAGCCTTCCGACGCCACTGTTCCGCTTAATATCGACAAAAGGTGCTGTGGATACATTATCAATTCCTCGTTGCTTGTTCAGAATCCCCAAATACCATAGTAGTAGTTATGGGAAATCGAAGTGTGCTGTGTTTTACAGGTACATATTGCGAAGGGGAAGCTCTGGGATTTACATGTACACTATTTTGGAACGCCTGGAAGGATGGCCGGATGTTGACATGGACCAAATCAGAGTGGTCTTCAAGCTCCAGCAAAAGCTGTATGTAGTAATCTTGATTCTTTCTGTGTATTTATTTTGAGCGAGATTGAAGCAGTAGAAATTGAACGAGACTGAAAGTGGTTTTGCAGGTTTCACTTCATGGCGATATCAGATGACAGGCAAAGGGTGATGCCACTGGCAAAGGATCGTATCACTGGCCGCCCTTTGGCCTACCCTGAAGCTGTTCTCTTGACCCATCCCAGCAATCCTGAGTTTAGAGGAGAGGTAATAAATAAGAAATTGTTGTCTTCCCTCTGAGTTCTTGTGTCGAGTTCTTGAAATCACAATGGAGGGTTTGTCTCCTTGAAGCTGCACTAAGTAATGTTGCAGTAGGTTAGGTGTTTGACAAAATGTCTCAAAGAAACACATCACTTATTTTCCTCATTTTTTGTGGCTAGAGAAGCTAAAGTAAACTAACATACCCACGAATATTTTCTTTTGTGTTTTTGGGTTGTGTTCTTATGCTTCAGTCCATATTGCCTGATATAATGAGGTGTGTTAGGTGGATGACAAGTACCAGTACTCGTGTGAGGACAAGGACAACAAGGTTCATGGATGGATATCAGAGGAACCTGCAGTGGGATTCTGGATGATCACTCCCAGTGACGAGTTTCGTGTTGGAGGGCCCATCAAACAAGATCTTACCTCGCATGTTGGCCCGATCGTTCTCAATGTATTAATTCATCTATGATTTGAAACTAGCTCGCCATCGCTTGGATTTCCAGCAGATTTTTGAAACCTCCTAATTTCCTCACTACTCATAACTCGCAATAACTAAGTTCTTTGTATTGATTACTCATAATTTGTAATCTGGATTGCAGATGTTCACTAGTACGCATTATACTGGGAAGGACTTGAACACTGCATATAGAAATGGAGAACCTTGGAAGAAGGTTCTTGGACCTGTTTTTGTTTACCTGAATTCAGGAGATACTTCAACACTTTGGCGAGATGCTAAAGAACAGGTAACTCTTGGACACTATTCAAAATGATGACTCTTCTTCTCCTTGCTCCTTTACTCAACGCATGGATCATTATTCAATTGCTCATTATTAGATGCACACTGAGGTGAAGAGCTGGCCATATGAATTTGTTAACTCAGAAGATTACCCAGCAGCGCACCAACGAGGAAGCGTCGTTGGCCAATTAATACTCAGGGACAGGTAAAGTCTGCATGTGAATTATTAACAGATAGCGTTTCAATTTGTACAAAATGAATCATTCTGAACTGCTTCACCTCGTCGTCAGGTATATCAACGAGAGGTTGATGTATGCGGGGTCTGCATATGTTGGGCTAGCCATTCCAGGAGATGTAGGATCATGGCAAAGAGATGCCAAGGTGAAGCACCACCACTAGATACATGCAAGTTCTCTCCTTGATCAGACACAATCAGGAAACTTACCTTTACATGGGGTTTTCGCAGGGTTATCAGTTCTGGACTCAAGCAGACAGGAAAGGTAGGTTCTTTATAGACAACATTAGAGTTGGGACTTACAATCTGTATGCTTGGGTTCCTGGAATAATGGGGGACTATAAGTACAGTGTTAACATTACTATTCAGCCAGGTAAAGTAAGCCCCAGACATGGAAAATCCTTCTCCTTCTTAAAAATCTTCCTAACATCTCGTGTGGAATTCTAATTGATCAATAATTATGTAATGTAGGATCGAAGATGGACTTGGGTATGATTGTGTATGATCCACCAAGGAATGGCCCAACTCTGTGGGAAATAGGCATTCCTGACAGAACAGCTGCAGAATTCCATGTTCCAGAGGCATACCCTACACTAATGAATAAATTGTACACCAATCACCCAACTGACAGGTTAGTCCAATCTTCAAACCTTTCCACGCCGTTTAATACTATGTTACAATCATTGCCTATAATAAGTCTCTTATTTTTCACATTCTATGACTAATGTTTCTCGTTTACTTCTGCTAATAGCTTCAGGCAATATGGATTGTGGTCACGATACGCTGATACATATCCCAGGCAAGATCTAGTTTATGATGTTGGTGTAAACAACTTTTTTGAAGATTGGTTCTTCGCTCATGTTGTAAGGTAGAAGTTATCGTACTCCACCTTCATCCATGACTGCTTGTTGTCATAGTTTCTTTCTACCAGCTCATTCTGAACGTTTGATGCTTCTTCTATCTGCAGAAGCGCAGGGAACAACACTTTTCGGGCAACCACTTGGAGGATTAACTTTGATCTGCCAACCGTAGACAAAAGCAAAGGAGATTACACATTTCAATTGGCCTTGGCTTCAGCAGCTGAAGCAGAGCTACATGTACAATTCCCATGTGCCTAACTTTTCCTGTCAAACCATTAACTAGTGTAGTAGCCTTTTTTACTGATCTCGTTTCTTCTGCATTTTGATTCGAGAAACAGGTCCGATTCAATGACCTAAATGCACCAGAACCTTTGTTCTCGACGGGGCTAATAGGAAAGGACAATGCCATTGCCAGACATGGAATCCATGGATTGTACTGGTTGTACAGCATCAGTGTACCCAACAACCAACTTGTTGATGGGAGGAACGCAATTTATCTCACTCAAACTAGAACTCATGGCGCCTTTTACGGTGTTATGTATGATTACATTCGATTGGAAGGACCAAGAGGAACTTAGTTTACTCTGCAGATGGACTTCTATAATTCTATTTGCTCATAGTCTCAGATTAATGTTAGTATTTAGTTACGACTTACCTGTTACTATATGTTTACATTAGAATAATTATTATTATTAGTTAGAATAATTAAGCCGTAAGTAACCCAAAAAAAATTACTGTTCCTTACGATATTTCCGGGTTACTGTTCACGGATTTGTTTTAAATTATTTAAATATAACTAATTTGTTTTACATTATTTAAATATAACTAATGGAATTTTCTGCTACCGCAGCCCCTAGGGTGTACCTGTATTTACCGCTAGCACGGTGCACCTTTGTCACCCCTGTTTTAGCATTCGTTGATTTTCTTGGCGGCTGGCCGAGTTTGGCCCGGAGGCCGCCGTTGATTCTTCTCTCCCTTCACGTGTTGATTCTCACAGCCTCCCTTGATGATCCACTGTGTTTCCTTTTAGCCTTGGTCGATTTACTTGGCGGTTTGCCGATTTTGCCCTAGAGGCCGCCATTGATTCTTCTCTCCCTTGAGGTCGATTGATTCTGACAGCCTCCTTTGACGATCCACTTTCTTTCCTTTTCCTTCAACTCTGTTGATTGGATGGAGTTTGGCTGAGTTGAGATCTTCCTTCTCTCCGATCTCGCCGAGTTCTCTCTTCCACGATGTATTCCCTGCTGTTCTGTTGCGATCTGATTGGTGGCTAGGCGAGTTTGGTTCCCCATCCCTTAATATTGGAAGCTATCGGTGTTCAAGTGAAGCTGCTTAGCAACACGCAGACTCTTCTTCTTGTTGATTAAGTTGTTGGCGCATCAGACTCAAAGTAAAGGGACAGCTAGGAATAAGATTGAGAAGTTTTCAAAAACAGAGATGGCAGAAAATCAGAATCCAGCTCCTTGAAAGGCAGAGATGGCAGAAAAGCTTTTGCCTCCCCTCCAGCTCTGCAATTGCGCTTGAAACCCTCCACTGATGCCCAAAGTTACACATGCAAAGAAGGAAAAAGTACGATGACTGACCTTTGTGAATGTCGATTTTTGAAATTCCTTCCGTTGATCCATTTGACTGGGAGTGATAGCTAGCTAGCTAGCTAGCTGAAAGGGGAATACTCAGATTTTGGCTTAAAGTGGCGAGAAGTTATTCCCTCCGAAAAAGTTAATATGCTCACAGTGGGTTTTGTGAGTAGATACTCACTGACCCACAGATCCGCCCAGCCGAGAAGAGGGAGACGGGCTCACTTAAATTAGCCGTGGTGAGTTTTTTGGCCCAAGTTGAGTGGACAAATGGAGCCGACGGGCTGGCTTGAGAGAGGGGCAAAATTTGGGTAGGAAGTTGGAGAAAGAAGGAACAGAATGGGTCTGGTGGCTTGCAGCCTAGTAAGGGCTGCCCGCCGAGGGCCCATAGGCTGAAGGCTCATAAAACAGTTCTTTGGGCCCAACTACTTGTGCCTTGAATTTTTGGGCGGGATTTTGCTGAAGAAGATTGGATATTTGTTGAACAATAAAGGGGAAGGTGGCATTAAATGCAACTTAGTTATGCTGCTCACAGCATAAACTGTGAGTAGATACTCACATGGTGGATCTATTATCCACGAGGGCGAGGCAGGATCTGGCGTCGGTTTGAGGAAGGTGAGCCGAGTGTATCGGCTGGCCCAATCCCACGACTGAAAGCGGGGCCCGCCAAGCACACAAATTAAAAAACCAAAAATTAAACCTGATTCTTCCCCAAGTCAGTTTTTCCGCCAGACCACTTTCCCCTCTCTCCCGCTTTTCCCCTCTCTCTCACTTTCTTCCTCTCATGAACACAGACGAAGAAGCAGCGAACCAGCGGCGACGGACCAGCAAAGCGGCAGCGACGGAACAGCGAAGCGGCAGCGAGGGTGCAGCGTAGCGGTGGTGGCGAGGCGACGTAGCAGACGAATCGGCGGCGACGAAGGGCGGGGTTTCGGCGGCGACGAAGGTCGGGGTTTCATGGCGACGAAGTAACAATGGTTGGTTTGACGGCGGTCGTTGAAGAAAGAACTACTTTGTGGACTAAGGTAACTGTCTTATTTATACTTTGTTCAAGGATATTCATTTTCGCTTCGACAGATTTGAGTTAGGGTTTCATGGATACGACTTGATCTGGGTTTTCCTTTTGTGGATTTGTCTTTTGGGTTTAATTATACTTTGTTCATGGATATTCATTTTCGTTTGGACAGATTTGAGTTAGGGTTTCATGGCTACGATCGGGTTTTCCTTTTGTGGATTTGTCTTTTGGGTTCGTGGGTGAAGTATTTATTTTGTGGTAACTTATATGTCACTGTATATGAGATCGTTCTTTTGTGGATGTTATTTCTGGGTTTTGTGGATTTGCTTTGTGTTCCTTCCGATATTAGTTCTGTTCGGCAGGATATGCATTCTGTTCCTTCTGGATATCCGTTGTTTATTTCCTGGGTTGTTGTTTGATGTATCTTGATATTGGTTTTGTTTGAGCATGATATCAGTTATGACTTTCTTGGATAGTTGTTTGATAGGATCTGGGTATTTGTATGTGCAGGGATTTATCAATGGCAAGGACTAAAACAACCAAGAGGAAACAGCGACCGGATCCACGACAGCCATCACCACCGCCACAGCCAGAGGAAAATGAGGAAGAAGAAAATGCGGAAGTCGAAGCAGAAAGAGCTGCACAAGAAGATGCTGAAGTCGAAGCAGATGGAGCTGCACAAGTAGACTGAAGCTGAAGCTGAAGGAGTTGCACAAGGAGCAGCTCGAGGTCAAAGCAAGGCGAGGTATAGATTTCAGCGCACTCTAAATCTCTGCTACATGTTATAATCTGTTTTGTGTGCGTTCCGATATTATTTATTTTGATTCTGGATATCCATTGTATTTTGTTGGATTGTTTCTTAGATATATCTGGATATTGATTTTGGACCAGCATGATATCAGTTGTGACTTGCCTGGATAATTGTTTAATATATCTGGATATTGGTTTTTAATCAGCGTGATATCAGTTATGACTTGCCTGGATAATTGTTTGATATATCTGGATTATGGTTTTTAATCAGCATGATATCAGTTGTGACTTGCCTAGATAATTGTTTGACATATCTGGATATTGGTTTTTGATCAGCATGATATCAGTTGTGACTTGCCTGGATAATTGTTTGATATATCTGGATATTGGTTTTTATCAGCATGATATCAGTTGTGACTTGCCTGGATAATTGTTTGATATATGGATATTGGTTTTTTACCAACATGATATCTGTTGTGACTTGCCTAGATAATTGTTTGATATATCTGGATATTTGTCCGTGCAGGGATAAAACGAACATGAAGAGAGCGACGGAATCCACCGCCGTCACCACCGCAACAGCCAGAGGAGGATGAGGAAGAAGAAGATGCTGAAGTCGCAGAGCAAGTACCTGCACAAAGAGTTCACATTCTAGGACAAGGCAAGCCATGGTACAAATTTCGGTGCCACACCAAATCTCTGCTAGATGTTATAAAATACTGGAAGGAAGAGCCAATGTACTATGAAGCATGCAAGAAAGAGTTGGAGAAGGCTGGATTTGGAGGGCTAGTGGAGCTTCGTCTAGCAAATGTTCCTAAGAAGTTGTTCGATTCCTTGATGGCACAGTTTGATGTGCACACCAATTCATTCATTTTCGGTGAAGGGGATAACAAGAAGGTGCTTACCATCGAAGCTGAGGATGTTGCCCGTGTATATGGGCTGCCTATTGGTGGTGCTGAGATTGATGTCGTCAAGTCTAACGACAAGATGCTTGAGATGTTCAAGGATCAACATGGAGTGTACTCGTAGTCGAAATGTAGAAGTTATGGATCTTAGAGAGACAGCCTGTGGTGGTCCAGATGATGCACCGAAAAGGAGACCACCTGTTGGAGCCGCGGTGAAGCAATTTTTGTTGCTGGCTCTTGGTTCGATGCTCGCCCCAAAGATGTCACGACTTTGTGATCTCGATTATGCAGAGTACATGGTTGGAAGGGTGGAGGACATTGCCACTTTTAATTGTAGTGGTTTTGTTGCCCGTAATCTGAATCTTGGAGATATCCACTTCTTAATGGTAACTCCTCCTTTAACTTTGTTGATATTGTTTGTTTGATGGTTGATATTAGTTAACATTCTAGGGATAATAGTTCATTATATTCCTGACTTCTTTTTTGTGTGATTGTGATATTAATAGCCATTCCTAGGATAGTAGTTCGTTTCATTTCTGATATCTGTTTTGAACGCTTTTTTGTAGATCCATTTGCTAGATTTCCTTAATATGAGAGGGTTTGCCACAAAAACCATCCCGACCTGCAGCTATTGGTTCGACCCAAGGGTGGATAAGGTGTGCTCGAATATCCCTAAGGTAGCTGACAAATATATCATGGGTCCCATGTTGTTGTCAAGGGAAGAAGTGAGATCCCACTTCTGTCCAGAACGTGTCAAGAGGGATTGGGAATCAGGGTCGAGCAGCTCGACTCCTTCTACTGATTGGTGGGCGGATGTTGACTTTGGAAACCCTTGAGGACGATGAGGTATGTAGATCTTCTCTTTGCATCTCAAAATCGTGGGTTAATAGACATGGGTGCATGTAGCAAACTAATTTTTTTTCAATATATGTGTAGCTTAAGTCATTGGAGTCATTGACTGAAAAAGTGATGGATGTATGGGAAACAAGGCGGGATAGTATCTGGAGAGTCGTCATTATGCGCCATCAAGGAAACAATTGAACTTTGTAATTTTCTTCTGTTTAAGTGGTTGTAATGTTATTGTTAGGATGTTATAATTGTCATGTTGGAATGGCTGAAAGTTTGTTTACTTGTTAAGGATCTGTTACTTTTATGTATTGCTGGTTCTGGATACTATTTCTTTTCATGATTGCTTTGAACAAAAGTTTGTTTACTGTATCGAATGATGAGATCCGAGTTTGCTTGCCATCGATATTGAAATGAATGCATTGCATATTAGCTACTACAGGGTTTGATACTACTCTGTCCTGTGTGGATAGCAAGTTCTTAATGTTTGGATATTACTCTGTTCTGTCTGGATAACAGTTGCACAATGTTTGGATATTATTCTGTCCTGTCTGGATAACAGGCGCCTCTTGTCTAGATATTACTCTATGTGGTCTGGATAACAGTTGTTATATGTTTGGATATTACTCTGTGTTGTCTGGATAACAGGCGCCTCTTGTCTGGATATTACTCTGTATTAGTTGGATAACAGTTACTTAATGTTTGGATATTATTCTGTGTTGTCTGGATAAGGGGTGCTTCATGGTTGGATATTACTCTGGCAGTTTGGATACCAATTTAATGTGCTTGCACGTGTTTTTTCAGCGATCAAAACGAAGAAGGAAGAGGGGCAGATTGGCGAAATTGGTTCCTGTGACCAAAGTGAGAATGGAAAAGGAGGGATACGTGAAAGGCAAGAATATGTTCAGCCGCGTGTACTCTCGGAGAATACGTGAGAAGACTGTGATGCCTGTTCTTGAGCCTGAGGGTGTGGTGTCTGTTGTTAAGTCGAGTGTTAAGGTGGAGCCCGAGGTGGTTCTGGAGCCAGATACAGTTGTCGAGCCTGAGGTGGAGTTGCTTGTTGTTAAGTCGACTACTGATGTGGAGGTGGAGTCAGAGCCAGTTGTCGAGCTTGATATTGAGGTCTTTGTTGTTAAGCCGAGTGCTGAGGTGGAGGTGGAGTCTGGTGTCGCTACTGAGGTGGAGCCAGAGTCAATTGTCGAGCATGAGGTGGAGGTGCCTGTTGTTAAGTCGAGTACTGATGTGGGGGTTCCTGTTGTTGATCCGGAGTTTCAGGAGGTGCCTGTTGTTGATCCGGAGGTTCAGCATACGGATTCCATTTTTGGTCAAGTGAATGTGATGCAGATTGCTCTCCAGACCGCTGCTGCTGCTGAAGAGAGTATAGAGACATCCCCGACTACGGTAAATTTTGGAGGATACCAGTAGTGTCTGTTCTTCCTGGATATTTGTTTCATTTTCTGTGGATACTAGACTGTTCTTCCTGGATATTTGTTTCTGATTCTTTGGATACTAGCTTGGGCTTCCTGGATATATGTTTCTTTTTCTTTGGATACTAGCCTGGGCAGCTAAGATATTTGTTTCATTTTCGGTGGATAATATGCTGGGCTGCCTGGATATTTCTTTCTTGTTCTTTGGATATTAGTCTGTTCTTCCAGGATATTTGTTTCGTTTTTCTTTGGATATTAGTCTGTTATTCCTTGATATTTGTTTATGATTCTTTGGATACTAGCTTGGGCTTCCTGGATATATGTTTCTTTTTCTTTGGATACTAGCCTGGGAATCCATGATATTTGTTTCGGTTTTTGTGGATACTATGTTGGGCTGCTTGGATATTTCTTTCTTATTCTTTGGATATTAGTCTGTTCTTCCTTGATATTTGTTTCTTTTTCTTTGGATATTAGTATGTTATTCCTGGATATTTTTTTCTTATTCTTTGGATATTACTCTGTTCTTCCTGGATATTTTTTTCTTGTTCTTTGGATACTATACTAGCCTGGGACGATGGTCATACCTTTGGCATTGTTTTGCAGATACCTTTCGAGGATACTGCTACTGTGTTCGATCCTTCTACTGAGATTCTGATGCAAGGAGAAGCAGTACCATCAGAGGGGGAGCTTATAGCAACAGCATGCTAGAGGATGATGGAGGATACCGACGATGATATTCTCGTAAGTGAGAGGGCTATGACTCAGGAGGAGGCAGAGTTTATGCACTCTATCACACCAGAAGCATGAAAGGCAACTCTAAAAACTCCTGCATTCGAGAGGTCAAAACACCACCCGTTCGACTCACCACTGTCCGTTTTGCCTAAGACTCTGTCGACGAAACTCGAAGTTATGGCACTGCAAGTGGTTGAGTTCATCTTCAGTACCACAACTAAAGATGAGTAAGTTGTCATGTTTCCTTCTTTAATCACCAATTTCAATCTGTCAAATTCATGGCTACTAACGTGGTTTTTCATTTGTGTTTTACAGTCACGACTTTATCGTGGAAACTCCAAAGGGCAAGCTTAGCCGTTGCCAAATATTTTCATTGAAGCGTAAAAGTTGGGTTCATAACCAAGTAATTTTAGTATACGGGCACTTCCTAAATGACCAAGAAGAACGTAAGGAGGTGGTGAAGAGAATTGTCTTCCCATGGACCTATGTAGTAAGCATTATCTTCACTACTTAGATCCTATTTATGTTGAAAATGTCTAATTTGATATTGTTGTCTCTTCTAAATAGCAACATGTCGCCGCTAATGCTATAAAAAAACAACCCATGGACAAGGCGAGAGTCTCGGCGCATATTTCTATGCACAAGAGTAATCCATTGCTGAAACGGGAAAACTTGGAAAGATGTGATTACGTAAGTGTCTTCAATGTTTGGATATTTTTCTGACTTTCCTTGATATTGGTCTGGATTTATAGGATATTTTATTCTTATTAATTCGATATTATTCTGGGTTGTTGAGATATTAATCTGGGTTGTTAGGATATTAGTCAATGATTAACTCACTAACTGTATTGTGTTTCAGATCTTCTTTCCAATGTATCGAGATGATCACTACCGAGTGTACGTCGCTGACATGAAGAATAGGAAGACTTTCCTACTCGACAGCCAAAAGCCCAATGCCCGAGTGGCTAAGGAGGATCACGGACCAGTGGGGAAAATGATTTTTGAGTATGTGACAGAGTTCCTCAAAGAGCAGGGGGTCGATTGTACATTGGATGAGTGGGAATTCAGCATTGCTAACGTTCCTCAGCAATTTGGCAACGATGACTGCGGTGTATTTGCTTGCCTTTACATGGAGCTATGGGCGGGTCACCTTTCGGTGGAATATAAAAACAGTTGGCACAAGCAGCAACATGTGGAGGAACAACGAACACGGATTGCAGCTAACCTCCTGTTATGGAACTATAACGGCCACAAGGATGCAATAATTCAAGGAGCAAACGATTGGAGTATGCAGAAAGAGAAAGAGAAAGAGAAAGGGAAAAAGAAGAGAAATTGTTTTTAGATTTGTTTAGGTGTGTTGGATAGTTTATAAAACTTAACTTAGGGTTGGTTCATATTTAGGAATGGATGATGGTTTGCATTAGGATAGAGGATATTTTGGTAGATATTGACATGTGATTCCAGGATACGTTTTTGTGGTGCAGTGGATATGAGTCCACTTGTTAAGGATACTTGTCTGGGCAAACTTGATATGTACTGTAATATGTACAGATATTAGTCTTTGCTTCCTAGACAGCAACAAGTACACTAGTATCAATTATTACTTCTTTCACTATTCACATGTGACCTCTTTTGTTACTATACTCATGTGATCTTTTTGGTGCTGTACTCATGTGACCTTTTTTGCATTTGTCTATTTAAGACTTGGAATACACAAACCCAAATCGGCTATCCTCCTCTCTCAGTTTCTTCTTCACTTCTTTTCCAAAGCAAAATCCATATCTGGAGAGACTCCTAAACCAGAGCGTCGGGGATTGGTGGATGAGTTCGAATATGATGGTGTTATACTCTGTTACCATGGTTGGAGAGTCGTTAAACGACTTGTTGTTGATGGAGTCAACCCACCGAAGAGGTATTTCCGATGTCGGATGTACGAGTACGACAATGATAACGGGTGTGGTTTTCACATGGATTGGGACGAGGTAATGTTCCCCGCTTTTTCAGAGTCGAACGATGAAGACAACACCGAGGAGACCGTGAAGAAGTGAAGGGTATCGGTCTGGGCCTTAAGGACATTAGTCTGGGCTCTATTGATATTAGCCTGGGTCTTTCGGATATCTGTATGAGTTGTTAGGATATTTGTATGTGATTTTCTGATATTGTTTTAAATATAGAAGGTATTTGTCTGGGCTGTTCCGATATTTGTCTATTCTTTATGGATATTAGTATACAGAAAGACAGATATTTATCCTGCTGCAAAACATCATACCTCCTTAAATATTATCCAACCCTAAATAGCATCCATCCCTAAATATTATCCAAGCCTAAGAATCTTTGTCTGGGCTGTTCAGATATACATGTGCATGAACTTAGTCTTGGATAATATTTAGGGATGGATGCTATTTAGGGTTGGATAATATTTAGGGAGGTATGATGTTTTGCAGCATGATGAATATCTGTCTTTTTGTATACTAATATCCATAAAGAACAGACAAATATCGGAACAGCCCAGACAAATACCTTCTTTATTTAAAACAATATCAGAAAATCACAGACAAATATCCTAACAACCCATACAGATATCCGAAAGACCCAGACTAATATCAATAGAGCCCAGACTAATGTCCTTAAGGCCCAGACTGATACCCTTCATTTCTTCACGGTCTCCTCGGTGTTGTCTTCATCATCAGACTATGAAAAAGCGGGGAACATTACCTCGTCCCAATCCATGTGAAAACCACACCCGTTATCATTGTCGTACTCGTACATCCGACATCGGAAATACCTCTTCAGTGGGTTGACTCCATCAACAACAAGTCGTTTAGCGGCTCTCCAACCATGGTAACAAAGTATAACACCATCATATTCGAACTCATCCACCAATCCCCGGCGCTCTGGTTTAGGAGTCTCTCCAGACATGGATTTTGCTTTGGAAGAGAAGTGAAGAAGAAACTAAGAGAGGAGGATAGCCGATTTGGGTTTGTGTATTCCAAGTCTTAAATAGACAAATGAAAAAAAGGTCACATGAGTACAGTGACAAAAAGATCACATGAGTACAGTAACAAAAGAGGTCACATGTGAATAGTGAAAGAAGTAATCATTGATACTATTGTACTTGCTGCTGCTAATACTGATATCTAGGAAGCCCAGACTAATATCTGTACATATTACAGTACATATCAAGTTTGCCAAGACAAGTATCCTTAACAAGTGGATTCATATCCACTGCAACAAAAAACGTATCCTAGAATCACATGTCAATATCTACCAAAATATCCTCCATCCTAATGCAAACCATCATCCATTCCTAAATATGAACTAACCCTAAGTTAAGTTTTATAAACTATCCAGCACACCTAAACAAATCTAAAATCAATTTCTCTTCTTTTTCCCTTTCTCTTCTCTTTCTGCATACTCCAATCATTTGCTCCTTGAATTATTGCATCATTGTGGCCGTTATAGTTCCATAACAGGAGGTTAGCTGCAATCCGTGTTCGTTGTTCCTCTACATGTTGCTGCTTGTCCCAAATGTTTTTATATTCCACCGGAAGGTGACCCGCCCATAGCTCCATGTAAAGGCAAGCAAATACACCACAATCATCGTTGCCAAATTGCTGAGGAACGTCAGCAATGCTGAATTCCCACTCATCCAATGTACAATCGACCCCCTGCTCTTTGAGGAACTCTGTCACATACTCAAAAATCACTTTCCCCACTGGTCCATGATCATCTTTAGCCACTCGGGCATTGGGCTTTTGGCTGTCAAGTAGGAAAGTCTTCCTATTCTTCATGTCAGCGACGTACACTCGGTAGTGATCATTCCGATACATTGGAAAGAAGATCTAAAAGACAATACAGTTAGTGAGTTAATCATTGACTAATATCCTAATATCTAGACAAGAGGCGCCTGTTATCCAGACAACACAGAGTAATATCCAAACATATAGCAACTATTATCCAGACTATATAGAGTAATATCCAGACAAGATTCGCCTATTATCCAGACAGGATAGAATAATATCCAAACATTGTGCAACTGTTATCCAGACAGAACAGAGTAATATCCAAACATTAAGCACTTGCTATCCACACAGGACAGAGTAGTATCCAACCCTGTAGTAGCTAATATCCAATGCATTCATTTCAATATCGACGACAAGCAAACTCGGATCTCATCATTCGATACAGCAAACAAACTTTTGTTCAAAGCAATCATGAAAAGAAATAGTATCAGAACCAACAATACATAAAAGTAACAGATCCTTAACAAGTAAACAAACTTTTGTTCAGCCATTCCAACATGGCAATTATAACATCCTAAGCCTAACAAAAACATTACAGCCACTTAAACAGAAGAAAATTGCAAAGTTCAATTGTTTCCTTGATGGCGCATAATGACGACTCTCCAGGTACTATCCTGCCTTGTTTCCCATACATCCATCACTTTTTCAGTCAATGACTCCAATGCCTTAAGCTACACATATATTGATAAAAAATTAGTTCGCTACATGCTCTAATGTCTATTAACCCACGATTTTGAGATGCAAAGAGAAGATCTACATACCTCATCGTTCTCAAGGGTTTCCAAGTCAACATCTGCCCACCAATCAGTAGCAGGAGCCGAGTTGCTCGACCCTGATTCCCAATCCCTCCTGACACGCTCTGGACGGAAGCGGAATCTCACTTCTTCCCTTGACAACAATATGGGACCCATGATATATTTGTCAGTTACCTTGGGGATATTCGAGCACACCTTATCCACCCTTGAGTCGAACCAATAGTTGTAGGTCGAGATGGTTTTTGTTGCAAACTATCTCACATTAAGAAAGTCTAACAAATGGATCTACAAAAAAGCGTTCAAAACAGATATCAGAAATGAAACGAACTACTATCCCAGGAATGGTTATTAATATCACAAGCACACAAAAAAGATATCAGTAATGTAATGAACTATTATCCCTAGAATGTTAACTAATATCAACCATCAAACAAACAATATCAACAATGTTAAAGGAGAAGTTACCATTAAGAAGTGGATATCTCCAAGAGGCCATTGCTGTTTCCCACCCGCCCTAGATTCAGCTTCGTTTTCCTTAACCCGACACAACTCAAACTTCAGATTACGGGCAACAAAACCACTCCAATTAAAAGTGGCAATGTCCTCCACCCTTCCAACCATGTACTCTGCATAATCGAGATCACAAATTCGTGACATCTTTGGGGCGAGCATCGAACCAAGAGCCAGCAACAAAAATTGCTTCACCGTTGTTGCAACAGGTGGTCTCCTTTTCGGTGCATCATCCGGACCACAACTGGCTGCCTCTCTAAGATCCATAACTTCTACATTTCGACTACAAGTACACTCCATGTTGAGCTCCTCCTTGAACATCTCAAGCATCTTGTCGTTAGACTTGACGACATCAATCTCAGCACCACCAATAGGCAGCCCATATAGACAGGCAACATCCTCAGCTTCGATGGTAAGCACCTTCTTGTTATCCCCTTCACCGGAAATGAATGAATTGGTGTGCACATCAAATTGTGCCATCAAGGAATCGAACAAATTCTTAAGAACATTTGCCAGACGAAGCTCCAATACCCTCCAAATCCAGCCTTCTCCAACTCTTTCTTGCATGCTTCATAGTACCTTGGCTCTTCCTTCTAGTATTTTATAACATCTAGCAGAGATTTGGTGTGGCACCGAAATCTGTACCATGACTTGCCTTGTCCTAGAATGTGAACTCCTTGTGCAGGTACTTGCGCTGTGACTTCAGCATCTTCTTCTTCCTCATCCTCCTCTGGATGTGGCGGTGGTGACGGCGGTGGATTCCGTCGCTGTCTTCACGTTCGTTTTATCCCTGCGCGGACAAATATCCATATATATCAAACAATTATCCAGGCAAGTCACAACAGATATCATGCTGGTAAAAAACCAATATCCAGATATATCAAACAATTATCCAAGCAAGTAACAACTGATATCATGCTGATCAAAAACCAATATCCAGATATATCAATCAATTATCCAGGCAAGTCAAAACTGATATCATGCTGATCAAAAACCAATATCCAGATATATCAAACAATTATCCAGGCAAGTCACAACTAATATCGTGATGATCAAAAACAAATATCCAGATATGTCAAACAATTATCCAGACAAGTCACGACTGATATCATGTTGATTAAAAACCAATATCCAAATATATCAAACAATTATCCAAGCAAGTCACAAATGATATCATGCTGGTCCAAAATCAATATCCAGATATATCAAAGAAACAATCCAAGCAAAACACAATGGATATCCAGAATCAAAATAAATAATATCGGAACGCACATAAAACCGATTATAACATGTAGCAGAGATTTAGAGTGCACCAAAATCTAAACCTCGCCTTGCTTTAACCTCGAGCTGCTCCTTGTGCAGCTCCTTCTGCTTCAGCTTCAACATCTTCTTGTGCAGCTCCACCTGCTTCGACTTCAACATCTTCTTGTGCATCTCCTTCTGCTTCAACTTCAGCATTTTCTTCTTCCTCATTTTCCTCTGGCTGTGGCGGTGGTGATGGCTGTCGTGGAGTCGGTCGCTGTTTCCTCTTGGTTGTTCTAGTCCTTGCCATTGATAAATCCCTGCACATACAAATACCCAGATCCTATCAAACAACTATCCAATAAAGTCATAACTGATATCATGCTCAAACAAAACCAATATCAAGATACATCAAACAACAACCCAGGAAATAAACAACGAATATCCGGAAGGAACAGAATGCATATCCTGCCGAACATAACTAATATCGGAAGGAACACAAAGCAGATCCACAAAACCCAGAAATAAAATCCACAAAAGAACGAATTCATATCCAGTGACATATAAGTTACCACAAAATAAATACTTCACCCACGAACCCAAAAGACAAATCCACAAAAGGAAAACCTGATCATAGCCATGAAACCCTAACTCAAATCTGTCCAAACGAAAATGAATATCCATGAACAAAGTATAATTAAACCCAAAAGACAAATCCACAAAAGGAAAACCCAGATCAAGTCGTAGCCATGAAACCCTAACTCAAATCTGTCGAAGCGAAAATGAATATCCATGAACAAAGTATAAATAAGACAGTTACCTTAGTCCACAAAGTAGTTCTTTCTTCAACGACCGCCGTCAAACCAACTGCCGCTACTTCGTCGCCGTGAAACCCTGCCCTTCGTCGCCGCCGATTCTTCTGCAAAGTCGCCGCCGTCAACACAAGCTTCGACGCCGTGAAACCCCGGCCTTCGTCGCCGCCGAAACCCCGCCCTTCGTCGCCGCCGATTCGTCTGCAATGTCACCTCGCCGCCACCGCTACACTGCACCCTCGCCGCCGCTTCGCTTGTCCGTCGTCGCCGCTTCGCTGGTCTGTCGCTGCTTCTTCGTCTGTGTTCGTGAGAGGAGGAAAGTGAGAGAGAGGGGAAAAGCGGGAGAGAGGGGAAAGTGGTCTGGCGGAGAAACTGACCTGGGGTTTGATTTTTTATTTTTGAATTTGTGGGCCTGGCGGGCCCCGCTTTCAGTCGTGGGCTTGGGCCAGCCGATACACTTGGCTCACCTTCCTCAAACCGGCGCCAGATTGTGCCTCGCCATCGTGGAGAATAGATCCACCGTGTGAGGTTCTACTCACAGTTTATGCTGTGAGTAGCATAACTAAGTTGTATTCCCTCTGCCCCAACCATTCACCTTATTATTCTCTTTCTGGGTATCTAATGCAAGAGCGGGTAGGTGGGGTTATTAGACTGATAAAGAGCAGGCGAATGAGTAGAGTCGAGAAATACAAGAAAAGTCAAGAAGTTGAGGTGTAATTGTTGCATGTAAATAAGATGCCACGTGTATAAGGGAAAAAAATTGTGCATGCTACGAACTAAGTGCACTTGGTGACTTGGTTATGTTACCCACTCCTGCATTCTTCTCTTCTTAATTAGTTAATATGTCCTTCATCAAGTTAGTTGCCTCCCAATTCCACCATCTTGCTTCCGTAATTTGCTCTCATCATCATTGCTTGATGAATATGTGTGACTCTTCCTCCCAAGATTGGTCTCAGCTAGGAAATTTTGACATATTTGGTGATTGGAAGTCGAATGGGGATTGGTAATTTAGTATAGAAGAGGGCAGGCTAGGAATATTTATGAGATTTAACTTAAATTCTGTATGAACTATAATCAATTCAAACTGTTAGAAGTTCATCGAATAATTGAAGTGATATGACTATAGTGCACGATTAACCAACACAATCATAATAGGTGATACAATATTATGAACACTACTTATAATCGTACTTTCTTAACTTTTGCGTTGACATAATCATATTAGGTTCATTTCATCAACCATATATATGAGATTTATTTTGTATGTTTGTAATGCTCCAATCAATCTTACACAAACTGGTTTTTGATCAAAAGGTTTTAGCATTTAACTTTCCGTAACTCCTAACATTAATGCTTGGATTTGAGCATGTTGTAAGATGAGTCTATAATGCAACTTCCAACTGAACAAATATATTAATTGAGATCCATATGTACGCAATTTTATATTGTTCCAACAACTTGCTTTTTGTTACTCAATATTCAAATTACTCTTTTAATTTTTCTCATCTTGACATAAGCACGATCGATATTTTTTAGGATGAAATCATGAATGAATTTAGTTTGTGCTTATGTCATAGAACTTTGTATCTCCTTTCCAGGTTTGTTAAAAAAATCAATGTTTAGGTCATTGATTAATAAGATTTTGGTATTTTACTATAAAATTTATTCCAAAAAGTTTTCCGCCGCAAAGCGCGGGCCAATTAACTAGTATTAGTTATAGAATGAAAGGAGGTTTATTGATTGAAACTACCTCTCCGAAAATCATTGGTCCAGTAGTACATGCCGCTAGTGATTCTGCAACTTGATTTGCCTCTCGTAAAAATGTATTACAAATAACATTTCTAGCTCAACAAGTAGTGGCAGTTGAAAAGGCAAGTTAGGATGGTTTATGGCCATAAATACCACTACGTGTTTCTCCCCAAATGAGTTTGTCTTTAAAATTTGATGCAAGAGATAATTGAAATTGAGGAATGATTGAATGGATATGATGAGGTAGATAGATTAATCTTATTTAAATTTAAAACTCTACGGAAAATAAATAAATCAACCACTGATTCGATGTGAAATAGGGGTCGCATTTACCTGCTAGGTAACTATGATCATATATCATCAGGGTCTTTCAAATCCCACTAATCCATCAGCAGCAGGAAATTTCTCTACCTAACTATCTAATGTGGATCTCTCATTTGGAGATTGAGTATAAATATACGCGGGCGAGCCTATTTATGCTTGTCCCGGGCATAGGTTGCTGCTAGAAATGTATTGCATTCGATGTCCAACCCATCATAAGGGCTTCCTTGTTACAATCCACCTAATATGAACACAGATGCAATATTATTCCAAATGCATTATAAATAGAAAGGAAAGGTCGTCGGGGATGGAGAGTTCAATGGAGGGGAGGCATCAACATCTTTCTTCATTAGAGGAGCACTCGCAAAGTTTGAAGAAGAAGAGGGCAAAGTTTTGGAGGAAGGGGGAAGTCAACCATGAGGATGATTTTGGCTATAATGAATTTTGAAAACCTGCCATTAAGGTATTTTGAAATCAGGAAAGGATAAGGATTGTGGCAAAATCATGCCCCAAATTCATAATCCAAGCACCCTGTTGTATCATAATAGCCTACATTGATCATAAATTTTTTGTTATTATATCCATAATTTACTTATATAGACATTCTCAATTTTCTATCTTTGGAAATTAATACATGATTATATTTTTTTAAAATAAGAAAAATGGGATCGATTAATTAAATTGGTCATAAGAATTTCCAATGAATTCGATTTTATCTCCTAATTATGTAAAAACAAAGACAAAAAGTTGTCAAAAAAAAGTTTGTGTCCTACGTTTTTGAAGATATAAAAAAATTAAAATAAAATAAGCTTGGGTTACGGTACAAAACTAGGGATGGCAATGGGGCGGGTTTGCCTAAACCATCCCCATCCCCATTTCCATATACCCATACCCATCCCCGCCCCATACCCATGCGGGTGGAGGATTTGCATACCCATCCCCGTACCCGCGGGTTTCGGGTACCCATGGGTAATACCCATCCCCATGTATGCATTACTTCTACACCTAATAAACAACATGCATTCTTCAATTATAAACAACTTAAGCCCTGCAATGACATGGTGAAAGATGAACAGTTCATAGAAAGAAGTGAACATACACCATAAGATTTTCGCCTCTTGAGAGCTTCGCGTGCAAGATCTTCCTCTCCCTTCTGGAGAGCAAGTTGTGCCTTCCGGTACCTACGATGAGTACGGCAATTAATCTCAATAAGCTATTGTCAATCAAATCTACTCAAACTCCTTTCAATTTTAAGGCAATACTCTAATTGTGTGTTACCAATCTTCAGAAGCTTGCTGTGCGTCCGTGCGTGGGCCGTGGAGCCAGGGAAATCGATTGTGGCCTGGTACGAAGCGGCGCGGAGGGGCTCGCCGACTAACCAGGACACGTGCGTGGAGGGGCTCGCCGACGTGAAGTGCGGCCTCGTGAAGGAGGAGACAGAGCGGCCACCGACGACGGCGACTTCGACGGAGTCCCGATTCAGAACCGGCGGCGGAGGCTGTTGGAGGAATCGATTGTGGGACGGCTGGCCGGCTGCGGAAGTCGACGAACGACGAGCAGCACAGCAAAGAATTTGGGAATTGGGAGAATGAGCGGTTGCGGCTGTGAGAAATTAGAATGGAATGAGCTTATGTTTCCTTTAGGGTTTTGATAAGAGAAATTATCTTTTAGTCATCTATATTTATTTTATTTACCCTTTATATCATTAACAATTTACAAACAGGTACTTGTATTTTTAGCATATAACAAATAAGTTTGACGGGTTGGGTATGGGTATGGGTATGGGTATGGGGCGGGGGCACCTAAAACCATACCCGCCCCATACCCATCAGATTCTTCACGGGTTTTACCCATACCCGCCCCATACCCAATCAAAGCGGGGATTCCCCGCGTTGACTGGGTCGGAGGCGGTCGGGTACCCGCGGCGGTGGGTATGATTGCCATCCCTATACAAAACCCATTAGTATTGTAATCCTATAAAACCTAGGGTTGGGCAAGCAGGTGGGTCACCAGCGGGTTTGGGTCGATCCGTCCACATTTGACCAAAATTTCGTTATGTGGGTGGGTTTGTGTGTGGGTGACGGGTTGTGTTGTGAGGCATCCGTCGGTTGGCAGGTGGGTTGTGGGCGGGTGTGCGGGTGACCCGCTCAACCCAATAGCAAAAAGAACAAAGTCATTGGCGCTGGAGAGTGGAGAGTGGAGACGCTGACGGAAACTAGGGCTACTCCTGGAGATTGAATCTCAAAGCCAATCTTCCAAATCTCAACTTCACTGTTCTTTCCTTTATTTTTTCCTCTGATTCTTGTGCCTAAGTCACCTATCTTTCCTCCGTTGAATTATTTTCTTAGTTTCCTGAACCCGATAATCATCTCCATCCGTAGGAAAGAGGAAGTCAACCATGAGGGATGATTTTGGCCATAATGAATTTTGAAAACCTGCCATTAAGGTATTTTGAAATCAGGAAATGTTGAGAGTGTGTTATTGTTGTGTTTGGAGACTTTGGGTACCTCTTTGTAATTGTTCCTTTATTTCCCTAGAGACCTTGTTGCTGGGCGTATATATATTGGCTTTTAGCCTCTTGTGCGGAGGCCAATATACCTGCGGCATCCTAGACTGCAGAACTAATAAAGCTTGAGATCGTTCTCCGTGGAGTAAGGTCATCCATACTGGATGACAAGAACCACGTAAATCCTCGTGTTGTGTGATTGTTTGCTTCCGCGTTCAAACTATTTTACATGGTATCAGAGCTGGCTTTGCTCTAGGGATTCCTTTTGAGGTTGCATCGTGATGGAGAGGGATGAAGGGAAGTCAGAGGCGACGTCCGGCACTGAAGTCGGAGCAGAATCGATTCCTTTGAGCTCACCGCTGTTCCTCCACCCATCCGAAAATCCTGCCCAATTGTTTGGGAGTGATCTGCTCACGGACTCCAACTATGGTGAGTGGGTCAACGATATGACTGAGGTTCTTATCGCTAAGAACAAGATGGCTTTCGTAGATGGGACGCTACCCAAATCTGCGGCTGGAAACAAGGACAGAACAGATGCTTGGGCACGTTACGATGCCACCGTGAAGGGTTGGCTCAAGACGGCAATGACCAAAGAAGTCAGGAACAGCGTTCGAGGAGCCCTCACGGCAAGGGAAATATGGTCCGATCTTGAACGACGGTTTGGAAAAGGAGCAACGCCCGGGCTTACGAAATACGTCGTTTGCTGAATGGGAGCAGACAAGATAAGCTCAACATCTCAGCTTTCTACACACGTTTACGTACTCTCTGGGAGAGATGCAGGCCGTGAACCCCGAGCCTCGTTGCAAGTGCGATGGCTGTACCTGTGGAGGCTGTCGGTGTGACCTGCCTCGCCAACAGCGCGAGAGAACCGAGATGGAAAGGCTTTTTGAATTCCTTATGGGATTGGACGATGCTTTTTCTGTTGTACGCACTCAATTGCTGAGCATGAAGCCCACTCCCTCGTTAGCCGACGCATACCAGGCTGTCTCCACCGAAGAGCAGCAGCGCAATATTACAGCTGGCCGTCGGCCCACTGTGGAGGCGGCAGCTTTTCTGGCTAATGGTGAACAGGTGCGGTCGGATCGAGAGCAGGGAGACAAGCCCCGTTGTGCCCACTGCCATAAGTTGGGTCACACCATTGACACCCGTTACAAGCTGCATGGATATCCCCCCGATTTACCCAAGACCCGGCAAGGTGATCGACCAAACAGGCAGAAGCAACAGCGAAGTGATGGACCGCGGGCAGCCCATGTCGAGCCTGAGGCGAGTTCTTTCCCAGGGCTCACGGCGTCGCAGTTCGACCAGCTGAAACAACTACTGGCGGATTCGGCAAAAACTTCAGCGTCGAACAATCCAGAGGCAAATATGGCTGGTAACGTTTCTGACTTGTCTGATTGGCTCATTGATTCGGGGTGTAATGAGCACATCGTGCGTGATAGTAGTTGGTTAGATGAACTAGATGCCTCGACCAATTTTGCTCCAGTGAGAATACCGAATGGAGATAGTGTACCGGTGCATGGTACGGATTCGGTTCGGCTGACTGAGAAGCTTACCCTGCGTCGTGTATTGCATGTTCCTGAGTTCAAGTATAATCTTTTATTTGCCAGCCGGTTATGTAAGGATAATAATGTTGCATTGACAT